GGGCCCCGAGGGTCCCTCGGTCGGGCTCCAGGCCCGGTAGAGCAGTGGAGAGGGGTTCGAGGGGGCAAAGGCACATTCCAAGGCAGAACGGCTGGCAGTGAAGGTGGAAGGCACCAGCAGTCTCTCACGATATTGCGCTCCGCTCCTATCCTCGTTGCTTCCTTTCTTCCCAGCTCGTCGTCGCTCGTTTTCACCCGTCCCCGTGGGATCGTCCTGTGCCAGTGGCAGTGCCGTGCCCCGAACGATGCGATACGCGACGCTAAACGACGCGAGGCGATCGGATTAACCGGAGAATCGGTGGTCGAGCGTGAAGCCTCGAAAACGACGTTTCGTTCGTGGACGGATGTTTCGTGTTCCTCGGCTACGGTGCAACGACGCGAGTGCGCGTATGCGTGCGTGAGCTGGTGGTGTTAGTGGTGGTGGGTCTTTTTTGGCGCCAGGTCGCGTGCTCGTGATTCGAAAATGCGCACGCCTAACGACGTAACCCGGTATTCCAGTGGGAAGACCAAGGAACAGAGACACGGCGTCGAAAATAGACTCTCGCCCTCGTGTTCAGGTCCGTGCACCGATCGTCGGGCATGCGGAAGAAGCGTCAACGGGAGACAGTGATTGAGAGGATCCGGCAGACGGGAGCACTTGAATATTCGATCGCGCAGGTGAGCAGCATACTATCTTGTTCCCTTAACGCGAACACGCGATGGATACGCGGATCGCGACGTTCTATCGCGTGCGAAGAGAAAAAAATAAGCGTACGAAAGGTCGAGAGATTTTTCTCACGATGCTGCCTCGTTACGCCGCGATCGTTAACGAGCAGGAACTTGTTAATTTTTCGCCAGATGCGTCAAGTTCCAGCCGGGGTACACCGAAACCTGGGTGTATCGCAGAATTTCTGGAAACCGTTGACACGACCGTTGCGTTTGCCGGTGACGATGGAAACCGGTATGCGTAGCAAAACGACCAACTTATCTGAATGGTAGAAATTAACAGCGGCAAACGTACCGATAAAAGCTGGTGTCGTACGATCGTTAATCTTTCTCAAAATCGAAATCGTTTTCCCTTTCGTTTCTCTCGATGCCCGAACGGAGGACGGATATTCTCGAGCGTGTGCGATATCTCGTGGTCTGTAACCTTGCTGGTTACATCGATTTTACGATCGTCCGTACAGACAACGCAAAAAATATTTCACGAATATCCTAACACAGTCGCCAAGAACCGTCTGGAAGAGAAGTGGGAGCCCGAGGACGGATACGGGGTAGGCGGTTCGCGTATGTCGTCGATTTTCTGCGTGAACGAAATTAAATCCACGTGCCGCCAAGTATTCCCATTCTTCCACCGATCGAGAGATCATCGAACGAGAGAAAAACTGAACCGAGTCCGAGCAATGCCATCGGCATCGAACTTGACCGTGGCCTTCGAAGCGTTTGCGCTCGTATAACGAGATACGAGGAATGCGAGTGGCCGAGACTCACCGTCCTGCACTCACCAGGACTACTTCGAACTGGTCGTTGCAACTAGATGCTCGGATACCAAATGTGCTTAAAGCCTAGTACACACTTGGATGCGATGTTACGACGTAATGTCTCGAAATGGGTATCCGTTCGTTGCGAGTACCCCTACCCTCGTCGTTCAACGATGCGTAACGCGTCATTTTTTTTATCTCGTATCGTCGTCGTCGCGTTACACCCGAGCGTATACTTAACTCGAAGCTGGAAGCAACCGATTTTGCGATCGCTTTGCCGCCTGAAACGCTAAAGGGTCCATTAGACTAAGCAGATTTTCTTTAAAGCCGCTCGTTAAATAATCCTACTTCGCGTCAACCGCTAATGGCTAACGAGAGCGGCGATGATACAACGCTTTACGTCGGAATTAGAAACGATCGATAATCTGGCTAATGAAATTTCTAGTTTCAGAGAATGCGAGGTGTAATGGTATCAGGTATCGCGCGGTCAGATCGATCGGTAAGACCAAACTCTCCGCAAATGTTGTGGCTACCGGTAAAAAGATTGCAACAATAGTTTACCGCGGTGCTTATTATCGGGATTCGCAACAATTTCTTAACAAGGTAGAACGAATGAACTTAGAGGGTGGAATTCTTTCGAATAAGTACAATACCGGCCGGTGAATAGCCCACTCGTCGCAACTCGAGAAGATTCGTCTAATATTCGTCGGGGATATTTATATACAAGTTCGTCGAAAGCCATTCGACCAAGTTTTAACGACGGAAGGCGCTAATAGGCTGCGAAAGTTTTTCCGCGTTTCCGTGTCCGGAACGGACGCGATATCCGCAGTTAGTATCGTCCCATTACTCGGAGGCCACGTTGCGTCGTAATTGGGAGATTCGTTAGTCCTTTGACCGGCCGTCAACTTCCCATGGATCATCGACGAAACGACAAGGTCCCATCGGTGCACGATCCCGAGCGTAAGAACAAAATCGTAGCTATTATTTTTCTTGCGCGAGCGTGAAACGTTTACGCGGACTCCCGCTGTTTCGTGCGATCCTAGACGATTTATCGGATTCAACGAGGCTTTCGCGACTCGTGCGAATCTCACGGAGTCAGATCCTTGGATAGACCGATCGACGAGATGTCCCTACGCGATCGTTTATCGGCTTTAACGTTTAGAGATAATTAATCGTTCGTCGGTTTTGTTCGGTTCACCGGACCGTGATCGTGTTTTCAGGTACTAAAATGTCCCAGTCGCAACTGAGCAGCGACTTGGACGTTCCGGAAAGTCCGCAACACCCTTGTCAATGCTCCGCGATGAGCAGCATGGATTCCATGAGAACACAGAGGGACAGAGCGGAGAGGGGCGTGGGAAGTACAAGAATTTCCAACAGCCAAGAACTCCCCAGAGGTCTGGAGGCGCTTCAGAGCGCGTTCGAGCCGATAAAAAGACTGGAAAGTCCGTTGTCTCATCAAGAAAGCCAACAGATCAATTTAGAAAACACCAGGAACGTGGATATCCTGGAACATCAAGCCAGCTTGTCACCCGGCGCGAGATCTTTGGACGGACAAACCGCCATTCTGTCCAGACACGGTCACAATCTTTCCTGTAGCCCGAGAAACTTGGATCTTTCTCGAAACTTGGCGTTCGAGGCTGCGAGAAGAGTTCAGGAATCCGGCAACTTGCAGGATAGCCAACACAGCCTAACTTCCAGCCCTAGTCCTCTGTTGGAGACTAGCTCGGCCTTGCTCGAGACGTCCGCCAAAGATCTGGACAAGCAGCTAGAGGATCACGGCGGGTTATCGCCAAAGCAAGCCGCTTCGGGCAAAGATAAGTTGAAGAACATTCAGCAAGTCCTGAATCCCTATCAGCATCATCACGAGCCGACGTCGCCGGAACGAAACGTCCATGGGCATTTTCACGGCGATGCCCACGCGCACGTACACAAGCACGCCGACAATTTTCGAGCTGGCACGAATTTAGACGTTGGCGATGGACTGATGGGCTTTCAGCAACATCAACGACAACACACTCATCATCACCACGGAAATGCCAAGACCACCAACGTGACGCATCACCATGGACCCACGAACGTGCACCACCCTCATGGTCCGCAAGGAATGACGGGACATCATCACGGAAATTTGCCGGCCAGCCTCGCCAGCCACGTTCACGGAGGTTCCGGTCCTCTGAGCGGCTCTAGCTCGAATCATGGAACTCAAACTGCGGCCGCAAATCCGAACGCCCATCATCATCCGAATCCAATGCCTGCACCTGCCACGATGGGTCACAGAAGCTCGCCGACGAGTCATCATCGTCTACCCGGTGGTACCAGCCTGAGCAGTCACTACCCGGCTAATTCTGGCTTCTCCAGCGATCATCATGGCACCTCCAGCGCGATGAGCGGAGCTTCCTCGAATTCGAGCATGTTAAATCACGGAGGTTCACCGGCGGTTCATCGTCACGTGGTCAACGCCAACAGCAGTCTCTCGACAACGCCGCTTGCCAGCCATCATCACGGCAGCTCATCGGGTAGCTTGACCGGACACTCTACCGTGAATCATCATCACGTCAGTTCGGGTATATCCTGCGAGTCTTCATCGTCGAACGCCAACACGAGAACCCATAGCCGTTTGGATCACGTCCACGATCATCATCATCACTTGCAACAAGTGCATCCGCTGCACTCGAACCACCCTGACGCTCGGCAAAGAGATAGAGCTCCTTCGAGTTTGGAGCATCATAATCATCACCATGGTCATATTCACAGTCACGGGCATCAGCACCCGCAGAACGCCGATACCAAGAATTCCTCCCTTATCGGAGTCGACTCCATACAGGTACTCGTTAGGACCGCGAAACGATCAAAATTCGTAATTCTAAGCGATCTTTTATCACGCTTCGTTTATTTAAAAATCGACATATCACAGTCATTCTTCGTAGTACACGATTTATCAAAGTCTTTCTTTTCTCGACGTGTCCAAAAGCTTCTTACGAAATGATGCTTTCGACATTTAGGTATCGGCTCCTTCGAAGAGTAAATGTCAGTGTCACGTGGTGCAAGCTGGAGGAAACAAGAGAGGGCAAGAGGGTGAGAGCGACGGTGGCGTTGAAGTGACATCAAGAACGCATCAACCCCCTGCTCTTCCGCCCCGGCCACCCCCTCGACCGACCAGGCGATACGAAACAACGTCCGTCAATCAGTGTAAGTATTTATATATTACCTCTATGTTTGCCATTCGCATTGATATTCTTCACTGCGAACATGTCAATTTGTACAAATTTGTCAAATGATAAATATTGATCCGTAACAAACTAAAAGGTGTCGATAATTTCGTTGCGAGAACGTTATTATCATATCGCGCGAGCGGAATATCTATCGCGATAGGGAATCGATATTTCCTGCACGCAAGCTTGTCAATTTGAATTGTGGATAAGCAGTATCGTTTCCATTCGAGGTAGTCGTCTCACCCCCGATCGATTTCCGCTCAAAACGAGCTTGTCACCCAGTCGGACACTGTTTCCTGAAGTTAGATTCACGGGAAGGTAGCCCGTAGCTCCATCCCTTGAGGGCCTCGGTCGAGAACTATCTTAACGTCTACAGTATCAGTCGATTAATATTCGAGGACATGTCTACCGTCGTCATCGTAGTCCTTTTTATCAGTAGCTGGGACACGTTATCGACGTCAACGAGCGCTGTTGACCGATTCTGCTCGCTTGAAGGAGCAACCCCTGATGCAATTTCAACCCTCGACCGCGTCGAGTCGCTCGAATCGTCAGGGTATATCGACCAGTCGATGTTCGCAGCGACCTAAAGCAGAAGCATCGTGTCGAAGAATGCTGCTGCGAATCGAACAACCAGCCGCGTTACTTTTACGCTCTGCGACGTTAATCCGAACGTTCCAGCGAGAATAGCGGCGAAAAGAATGCCTTTTTGGGCGTCTTTTCAAAAGGAATTTCAAAGGCCAACCCCTGGCCTACGAATCGCCACCACCACCACCACCTGTGGGACACCTCGGCGTGCGGGCTAACACAGAGATCTCGTGGAGTGCCTCTCCAGTTGGCGTGCACTCGCGTTCGACTTCGAATGCGACAGAAGAAACACGCTGCACCTGAAATTGTGAAATTCGACGAACAAGCGGAGCTGTCGTCACATCCCAGAGAGGACCTTGTCGCGCCAGACTGACCCAGGACCGGTGATTATCAAGCTCGATCGTGAACCGATCAATGAGAAAGTGGACATCAAAGGATTGACCTTGAGTATCAGTAGACCCTTTGAACTAAGACACGCGATGCGCAAACGTAGTCCATGTGCCGTCGAACGGAAGACACTAGTGCGTGCCGTGATTGTCATCTTCGATTTCTCTAGTTTCTGGTTGACGCAAGCTCGCGCGATTTGCAATTCAAATTGTTCAAGGTGTACGCGTTCGGAACGTGCAACGGGACGGTGGTAAAAATTGGACGTTTGCGCGGAGGAAAACATTGGTCGTGACTGGCACGTGCCGGTCGAGACGACTCGAAAGAACGATCGAAATCTTGAAAGGGTGGAGACGGATAAGTTCGACTCGATAATTCAAGGAAGACGGAAGATGGATGGGTACCCGGTGCTCCAGATAGTGCGATGTCGACTTGGAACGGAAATGGAGATGGATAACCAGGGTTATCCGTTCACAATGGCGGCACACTCGCATTCCCACTTGCCGCATCCGTCAAACCACGCGCACTTCCCGAGATCGCATTACCCTCACCCCTGCGGTATGCCGATTAACCCCTTCTGTTAATTTATCAATCGGTCCTGCAACCCCATTCTGTCTCCGACGTTGATCCGCGTAACCGCGTAATCTGCTATTAGCTATTCCATTAAGTCGCCTCTGATGCGATAATTAATTCTCGCCGTCGTTAAACATGCATTTTATCATCTCGTTTCGAACTAGACGGGTAAATTTTAATCCCTCGAACGTGACCTAAACTCCCGAAACATTTAGAACGATGTTCCGGTCAAAATTAGACGCTTAAATTTTCCAACGAAATCCAAACGAACGGTTTATATTTAAAAGCATCGTTTTTACGAGATCAACCACGCAACCAAAGGGCCGTAGAAACGTGCGTGTCACAAACTCATCTTCCGCCGTTCTATTTTTACATAATAAAAAAATATGTTACATTGTCGTGGAAGGTCACGTGGACGATGAAAGGTTGCCGTATAAATAGATATCGACGAGCTTCTTAATAAAAAACGCGTTCAACGGTGTAACCAAAGGTGGCGCGATAAAATCTTTGAAATTCAACTTCGACACGTTGGAAATCGAACAGTTTTCGAGCCGGTAATGAGGTTAGGTATTCGATTGGAATTGGGACAGTAAAGATCGTGCAGATTAAACAGACCGTAAAGGATCTAACATCGCTCGAGGATATTTTTTAAACGCACATTGGAAAACTTGGCTTTCGTTTCATCTTTCACCTTGAAAATATTTCATTCCTTCGCGTTTAAATACCAGTTTCGTTTCGCTCTCTTCCTCAAATCGTAGCTATACAGGTTCGGGTAACACAGGTGTAGCTTGGTCAGAAATTTCAGCCGATTGCATTCATGAAAAGATAGCAGGTAGCAAACGGCTACTTCGATGAAAGTCTACTCTTTCAACAGGGCGGACAAAGGGCGATGCAAGGTTACGTAGCGAACCAAAGAAATCGATTTTTGGTTCAATGAAACTGAATCGGTTTTTAGAAACTCTGGATCCTCGAACTCGATGGGTGTCTATCCGGTTCGAGCGTTAACAATGACCGAAATCGTGAGAAAACAGAGAAAGTCACGTTGTCGATTTTTCTATTATGTCTCGTGAATAGATCAATGGATTGATCCCAGCAATAACCTAATAACTGCTGCAATCGTGCACAGTTCCTGTTTCAATTTCGCGTCGGTTACATAATCTTCGTGGATTTTCCTGGTCGGCAGAAAAATAATTAGATTTTTAATTACAGAAGATGATCTCTCCACTCGCTCTCTGGCTGCGCTATAGAAAGGCACAGTACCCTCCTTTATTAACGGGAAATCTGATTAAAAAGTTCAGCTCTGTCGAATCTCGTTTTCTCTCCGGAGAGAAAGAGAGAATCTGCTATTGTCTTTGACGAGACACAGCATCGACGTTTGCACCCTTTAACATTCATTGAAGGAATTTTCAATAGAGCGTAGCCGGCTCGATTGCCAGCTTTGACAATAAAAGTTGAAGAGCCAGAATGATTGAAAATGGAATACTTCTGTTACGTCCCGCCAAAGAAAAATAACGCTTTCTACGATGCTTACGTAGCGTAGAGGCAATTTCAACGGCGCGTTTCAACGCGATATCTTCGCGTTCAAATGCAATTTGGTACACGATACGATTGAAAGAAAGAAAAAGGCTCCGCTTACACGAGCATCCTCGAGCAACGAGTATTTCCTTACGATCGTATCCAATTGATAGGAGAGCCGGTTAACGAAGCAGATTTCGATGATCAACGAGGTAATCATCGGCCTAGCAAGATTCGAAGAATTTCACCGAAAGCGCGTTCCTCGTTCTGCTTAGATCAGGACCTACGGTTGTTGGGTTCTCACGCAACGTGAAAGGAGAAATCTAAGTCGTGCAGGACCTTTTTTTCTGAAAAGGGTCGATAGTCGTTTACAAAAGATTCCGTTTAGCCACCGAAAAATATCCTCCCAGCTATTTCGTGATTGTTAGAGATTCTTCGAAACGATACAACGACGGAAAGATTTTGTAAACGGGATATCAAAAGCTGGAACGTTACCGTTCTTTATTTCTCGAAAGCTGATCAAATATCTTTCTTTGCCACGCGTTAATGCCCTATCCGATACCTCCTTTTATAATTCCTCAAATTTTCATGCAACGTGCGTTTACTATCAATGACCGATTTAAATTTTACAGGCCACACCGGAGAAGGTGGTTGCTGCAAGAAGTACGTTGTCCTTTGTTGCCTTTGTGGCGGGTTGAGCGCCGCGGTTGGCAGTCTCTTTTTGGCGGTACACGCGGTCCTTTCAGCCCACACGGCCAGTCTAGCTCTCTTTGAGACTGTACCATCTTACATTCCTGGCATAATGGTAAGAGACAGAGATCGGAATCTATCGATCGACCTCGCTTCATCCCGCACGCAGCGCGTCACTGAATTTCATCACGATCTTACGCTTAATCCGCGAAATAATCTTATGCCTTTAATTTGTTTCATAGTTAATCCTAATGGGCTTGTTCACGATGCTACTCGCTAGGCGGAAACACAGATATGGATTGTTGGTAAGCGTGCTGCGATTATTTCTAAAATTACATCACCGACAATTTCCAAGATTATTAAGATAAGTTTGTAATTTTCTGTAGATGAAGGTGTGCGGTTCTGTCGGTGTGGTGTGCGCGTTGGTATGCGTACTTGTCACCGTGACCACCACAGTGATACACATGTCTCGACTCCAAGGTCTCCGGAAATGCGTTTACACGGTGAAGGCAAGGTACGCGTTTCGAGTTGGAGTAAAATTCCTCGACGAGTTACGTCCTCGTTCGAGAGAAAGTTATGTCGCAGGCACAAAATCGTTAATAACGATTTGTCTAGGTCGTGCACGTGTTACGGGGCACCGGAAGGAGATCCCGGGGTCCTCTTCGAAGGCACTCCTCATTGCGAAGCGGTCCACGGTGCCCTGCATGCCTGCTTGAGGGCACTGTTCGGTGTTTCGGTCGCTGGAATCTTGGCCTGCATATTCTCGTGCATGCTGGTGTACCAACTATTGAGTCACGAGAAGAAGAAGATGTACTGGGAGCAGTTGGAGCTCAGATGCAGATCCCTGTACGGTCAAGGAGGTACCGTGGGACCGTCGACTGGTTCCTGCGGGTGCTGCAACGACTGTGGAGGTGCAGGTCCATGGTGGGCCCAGACACCCGGTAATCTGTACACGCCAAATCCTGATTTGGCACCGTCCAGGTACGCGAGTGTTATTTAAAATCACCGCTGTATACCGATCAAATCGACGAAGTAATATCGAATTCTCATAGTACAGAAATTCGCGTAAAACGAAAAGTAGGACACTCGTTCTTTTCGACGTTTCCATTCTGGTACCATTTCTATTTTCACGATTCCATTTATTTAGAACTTCCGACCTCGATACGATAGAAATTTTCCTCGAGTGCAACCGACCGAACGACGTACGAATTATTTATTAAGATTCGTCGATTCTTGTTCTATTATTACGAGCAGTTCCTTCCTAATCGCGTTAAATCCCGGATCGACGTGGATATGTCACGGAAAGCAACGTCGTTCCCAAAATATTGTAGATATTGTATTACGCGAGCACGCTACTGCGATACTATTACCGCGTCATTAAAATTTCAGCAACGGAACGCTGCTTCCCGTGACCTGGCGTTATCGAGAAATTATTGATGCGATTCAAATGCAACGTGTACATTCGCCGTGGAGCGTAACGATACATATTCAGTAGACTTCATTCACGAATGTCACGAATATCGAACCGGGGTGCAATAAACTTGTAAACAAGCCAATGATCCCTGCCTTGGGGAACACATTGTATTCCCGTAATCCGTTAATGTATGGCATTAATTAAGCCAGCATTCTTCTTTTGACATTTAGAAAGAGAGATTTCTTCGTCTGGGAAATTCTCTATGATGAACGATGCATTCTTTCGAGCGGTCGTAAAAATCAGTCGCAGTCGTGTTCCTCGATCAATTTCGCGAAAGGTTAACTTCTCTTCCACGATCTGAAAAATTGTCTTTGCTAAAGAATCTGTCTGTATACTTCACTTGCTCCTTCTTGATCTTGCAGGAGGTGGCGACTACCTTGGTCCAGGTCCAGGGGGCCAGCACCGAGTCCCGACTCGAACTACGGCTTTCACACGCAAGCCAGGCAGACGGAGGCCAACGTAGAAAACACCAATGGCCCTTACAGCGTGCTTAATTCTCAGTCGAGCGGCCCTTATTCGGTTTTAAACGCACAGAACGGACCTTACACCCCTAGCACAGCTTCCTACAGCGTTCTAGAAGCGCCTGTACCTCTGTGGGGTCCTCCACCGCCTTACAGCGATCCCAACAGTCCGGCCAGAAGGCCGCAGGTGACCGAACAGAGGCCAAGAATCGCTAAACGAATCGAAAATTTTGAGAACAACGAGGGTGAGTATCTGGATCGGTGTTGACACTGCCAATTACGATTCGTCTTTCATTGAACATAAAATATCCCATTTTCAAGGCTTGAACACCGTTGCCGTAGACCACAGATCAAGATCCACGAAACGTCCATCCGACAACTACGAGAATGCCGAGGAAATATCGAACAGCACCGATCCAGAGGGTGGGAACGAAGGTACCATGAAAGGCAGAAGGACCAGAAAGCCTCTAAAGGGCGTAGAAAACAGTGCGTTCCAACAGGAAGCGAATCCTGGCCCCAAACAGTCGGAAAGCGAACTGTATTTCGGCGATGTATCTTCGTGCTGCGGTCCAGAAAGCAGTTTCTATGATCTGGCCGTGGATAAAGAAGGTATATACGCATACCAAAAGTAAGCAGGGCGCGCATACGTACACGCTTTCCAAACGATCGTTTCAATTTAATTTATTCAGGCGCTGAACATTCGGAGGGTGTAGATTACCTAGCAGCTCGTTTAGGTAAACGACAACTTTCGAAGAGGTCCAGAATGCCTCTTCCTTTACCATCGGACAACGGCGACATACCGTCAGACAGTTACGCGAACAACGACGAGCCTAGGAGCGCGAGAGGGCCGTTTCTAGCTCCGGACGCTCAGTATGAGGTCATTCAGCAAGGTAGATACTCTTACTACACGTCGAAAGACGACGAGCAGCTTCAAGAAGGTCCCGCGACTTCGGGATACTTCAGAGAGGAGGAGGGTGACAGAGGACGAGAGAGAGATTACAGAGACTACAGAAGTAGTCAGGAAGAGGAAACGCCGCAATGTTGTTTAAGCGACTCGACGACGTTGGATTCCGGATGGCAAAGCGGAGAACAACAACAATCGGACGATAATGTTCGACCCGTGAACGTGTGATTGCCCGACGATAAATGACATATGTAACAGAGTGATATTAAGGTCGATTCGTCCTGCTCTGAAATTTGACCAATCGGTAATCATTCGAACGCTGACCGGTGACAGTTAAGTTAACCCGGTAGAATTTATTTTTTAAGTATCAATGGAAGGATCGTCTCCGCTTAGCCTTTTATCGTACACGTTAGAGCACGTACTTCCAACTACATAACGATCGAACTGCCGCGAATTAGATAGGAGATCCGTGTAGAATATAAAGATGGTGATAAGAGTGCAAGTCTAAAATTACCATGTTTGTAATAGAGTGTAAGCGTTGTGATTTGTGGTACGGTAGCTTAAGACGTAAATCTTTAATCGTTAGAGCATAAGCGAACGAGAATATTTCGCGTTAACAGAAGTCTGATAAAGGATTACGCGAAACGAACTCCGCGCGAGAGTTTTTGCGAGTGAATCCTACTTAGCAATGTATTTTTGTTAATTAAAGCTATGTCGCCCGATGTTGTTCGTAACGTTAATCTTTAATGTATGTCGGAAAGAAAATCGTACATAGAGAAGAAGAAAATTAGTTTCATAGGTGACACGACAGCGAAACGATATCCACGAGATAGAACGATCGCTGAAAAAAAGAGGCATAAATTTCCCAGAGGCTTTTCGCAAAGAAATTTCTATTCTTCGGTGGATATCTTTTCCTTGGCGACTCGTTAGAAACGTCCATGTACAAACGTGTGTGCTTTACTCTTGCCAATATCTAGCTAGGTGTCAGCTCGATTTTCGCACTTAGACGCTAATCGTTGCAAAACTATTTATCATTGAACGATGCATTTCGATTCGCGCACGATCCGTTCATTAAATTCTATTCACTGCCTTTTATGCCATCATTTTCCTTCGAGAAATCGAACGAAACTTTTTCGAGCGCCCGAACGCGAATTTCGATGCGGTTTTACAACCTTTCTTTTGTAAGAAAATCGTGAAATATTTATAAAGAAATAATCATTATTCGTGTTTATCGATACTTATCGCTTCGAAGGAATTGTATCGATGGTCTGTGTTAATTTGTCGAGCTACTTTGCGTTCTAGAACCGTGAATTTCAACATCAACATACAATCCAGGTGGACCAAGAACAATGTAGAGAAAGAAACGATTTTTACCGAATTATCGTGACAGATTTTGTACACTACCGTCGACTAGAACCGTTCGTAGTCGTTCATTATAGAACACGTGGAGCAGATGCATATTTTATAACCATGATTCGAGAGTGAAAGAGGCAAGGCCAGCTTGGGAGAGTAGTTTAACGTTGTTTACTCGATAAAGTGTACCTTAACAGCGATACGTAGCGAGTCTGATACATTGTCGAGCGATGTAACTGACAATTATTAAGAATAAAGCTTTGTTTTGTAAAGAAACACCGACTGTCGCTTATCATCCCATAATTCGATATTTCTGGTCATTCAGTGTCGGTGACAATATAACGGATCTCTAAGTATAACAAAGTTCGGTCGTAAGAAATTGTACCGCGACAGCCTCGGGGCTATCAATCGCTGAACCAATTAAAAAACCGAAGAAAGAAACTGCCACGAGCAGGACACAAATTAATTCTCGACGAACGATATTATCGCGGTCTATATGTCACTGAAACACACCCAGGTAAGCATTTAAAAAGGAATGCAGGATCTATAGCGGGCGCAACTATTGTCAGCAATTTTCTTCGAGAACTCCCGCGGTCTCTGCGCGTTGCCCAATATCAGATTATGGGGTTTCGCAACGAGCGGCACGATCGTTGAACTTTCGCAAGAACGTGTGCACACACGAGAAGCATAACCATTGTACGTTAACGTTAATTTCGCGCGATCTAGATCGATCGTTACCGACAGCCGACAAAAATTATCGTTTTTCATCGGCCCTATCGCCTACTCAAGTTCAACGAATAGTACGAAACAATGAATGAGCGTGATCAGAAATTACGTTATCTCGATTGGCGTAACACGCAACGCCGTTATTCTGATTCATACAAAAAGATCATTTTCAGTCTATCCGTAAGAATAGCGGATCGTTAATACATTTCAAATACGTTTGTGAATGGGCATACGAAAATGTATGCTCGTTTTGAGCAAGTTTTATGCGCTTAGAGTCCCTTTCGACTGACAATGAGTTCGTAACGATCCGATGCCGTAAGCTCAATCATTTAATTAACCAAAGCCACCGGGGCACGTACCAACTGATGTTAATAAATTGCAATTAAGTGTTTTCTAGGATCGTGTCGCGGTCGATACGATCTTTTCGAATGAAGGTTCGTTAGCAAAACGGACTACCGTTCTTTAACTGTATCCACTCAGGCGTCTGAATCGTCGGCTCAGCAGCAGCAACAGCAGCAGCAGCAGCAGTTGTGTTGCAATCGTAGCCAGACGCAATTTACTTACAAATTACTTAGAGTGCATTTAACAGTACATTTCTACCGATTCGAAATAATTAACGAACCGGTAAACGAGGAAAAATTAACGGCTATTCTTACACGTATTTTTTATTATGTTCATTAAATGTTATATAAACGTGATTCATAATTTCGATACTCCTGAAACTGTGATATTATTTCTTGAATACAGGATCATCGGAGCACAAAAATAATATAAATTAAATGTTTTTGTACGTATATATTTTTAAAACGCGGCTCGTCTGCTAAAGCATCAGTTACTGAGATCGAAGAAACTACCAGACATTTTCCTATCCTCGACGTTAATCGTCGAAACTACGATTTCGTCCGATTTGACGCTTGCATCAAGAACAAGATCCCTCGACGACTCGATGCGCAGCCTGATTCGCCAGAAACCTTTCGACCCTTTCCCTGAACTCTCTGCTGGATTCTGGCAAAGGTAGCCTCGGCCCTGAATTTCTCAGACCGTGCAACGCGTTGAAATGTTGCAGACTTTCGGTCAATCTACGGTCGTGATCCAAAATGTCCGGTCTAGGCGCAGGTGGTTTCCTTTTTCCCGTCACTGTTTCGTCTAATTTGTTTCCAACCACGCCGTTCGCGTAACCGCTTTCTGGCAATCGATTCCTCATCCCTCGCAACGCTATCCTCGCGCTGAGGACGGACCAAAATACCTCCAGAAGAGACGCGACCAACACGTTTACCGTCAGTAGAATCTTATCGTGCGACGTATCGCGATGATCCTTTTTCCAAAACGATATCATTCTATCCTTCAGCATTTGCAAAGTTTCGATGGTAGTGTTCTCTTGATTGGTAGACAGAGGTTCGTCTTCGAGGTTGTTAGCGAGCGATTCGCTAAGAGTCTTCGCGTGATCCTCCGAGGAATCGTTTGTAGGTGTTCTCAGAATGTATCCAGATATATTGGACATGTTGTCGATCACGATTCCAGCCGTAGGAGAGTAAAGATCGATCCCCGATAAACGATCACGAATCCCAGTGGCGTTGAAAGCGTCATCGTCGAACGTCATCGACTCGTTCACCGAGGTGTCCGTCCTGAAACGTTCTTCCAGGTGCGAACGGTCCCGAGGTTGATCCAGAATCTTCTCCAACGACCACGTCGTCCCACCGTTTTCCGCCATAGCCGCAATGTCGAGAACCGTCGCGACGAAACAGAGGACCGCTGCTATCAGGGAGAACAGGCTACCGTAAAAGAAAATAGCGATGTTCCGATCGATGTACCATCTTCTCCAGGCAAGTAGACCGGTCACGAACGGTACCAGACACGCGATCGACAGGATCGGACCTTGAAGCGATAAGGCCAGACTGCCCAGCAGAAGGGAGAGCGCACCCAGGCCGAAATGAACGAAGGACAGACCACCCACTGTCGACGCGGAATAACGACGCTCCGAGGGGTACAAAGAGGATAATGGTGGCTTCGTTTTCACCTTTATCACGTACACGTTCTCCATCATTGTTCTTCCCGCGAGCCTTACGTAACTGGCCACGAGAACTAAGCCGCGGAGCCAGCTTAATTATCACCAGGGTAAAAAATATGCGAACCGATAGGAACTGTTATCGCGTCGAGGCATCGTCGATACCATCAACTTTTCCAGCGGTGCACGCGTACTGGAATATTAACCTGGTTCCCTCCACCGGAAATTGCTTTGCACTTCCTGCTGGCCGTCGGAATCAGAGGCACTTGACCATGAACGAAATCCACCGAGTGCCACGAACTTTCGAAGACGAAATTTTTTTCTAGAACACTCGCAACGCGATTCCTCTCTCGACTCGCGAACGGTAATCGTTGTCGGACGGATAGCAGCAACGTTATTACGGACAAGATTGTCGATGATTTTCAGGCTAACACGAGCGAGCAGTCGAGTCCGCAATTATGCTAACCGTTTCGACTGCGATTGAAATCGTCGTCCCACCGTATCACGTGGATTTCTTCGTGACTCTGTGCACGAACACGCTTGTGCAACTCGTCTCTAACAATGAAACGAAAACTAACGAACAGCCACACGATCCAGCAGGAGATCCAATGAGCGTCAACGCGGAACGGTAAATAGGTTTAACAACCTGACGCTTCGCGGTTGCTACAACTATTATTCTTTTTTTCTTTCTTCTTGCTCGCGAGTGTTACGCAATTGATTACGAGGCGATTCAATTATCCCGCTGGTACGATTGTACCAGCGAGGCTGAACTTTTCTCAGACGATTTTCTTGCGCGAGTCGCTCTGGATTTTCAATCTCTTGGGAAATCAGCGATCCAGTTCCCACCGATGAAATCTATCTTGATCGTCGCTGATCAATCTTCCAATTAATAAAATCCTTCCTACTCTTGATTATTCTTGAGTCCGTCGATTAATTAACTTTGACAAGATTATTAACCGACACAACACGCGTACCACTGGAATATCTAGAGATCACTGTGGTCGAGCAAGAAACGTTTATTTCGGAAACACTCATTTTTCCGGTTGCAAGTACGACGTCGAATGAAAAGATCGATAAACGAGAGTGTTGAACACGTAATCAGAAATGATCGATCGAAGACAGATTCGGTGAGAAAGTTTCTGCTCGTGTCCGACGTATTTCGCGACTGATTTATGAGAACTGGTCGCGAGCCGCGAGAGACACTCCGGTGAAGACTGAACCACGAACGAAGGTAGGCTAGTTCTGGTTGAAATTACTACGAGATCCTGAACAGGCCTCCCACGCGGTCGGTTCGCAGTGAAAGGGATAACAGAGAACGACGACGAATAGACGAACCTTCGCGTTGTTTTATGCCTTCTTCACGCCACTTTCCGTGGCCGCGAAACGATGTCACGCTACACGAGAAAAAAGTGAGAAAATTTACTCTGCTACGTATGTATATCTACCGGAGAACGTATTTAATCCACGATGCTTGACCGTATCAAAATGTGCCTGAACAGTCGTATCGTACGCGCAGCAATTTTCAAAGAGAATACAAGTTGCTCTTTACGCGCGGAATAAGATTCGTGATATTTTTCTCGATATTAAATTAAATAGAGGTCTTGAGAATCGTGCAGAATCCACGCGAAGGATCACGTTAACCTTTATTCTTCGCGATAGAAACACGCGGGCTTGGCAGTCGACCTTTTCTTTGAAGAATACGAAGGTTACTTTACCATCGATTTTCTCACGGAGAAAAACTCTCCAAGCTCTCGGAATCGTTTGTATGTATATTCTAACCTTCGACAAGATGCGTGTCTTCGATACCAAAGAATGCTACGTTTGATGAAGGTTTAGATGATCGATACAAATTTTGTCTATATCATTTTCGACAAGTTCGAAATCGGATACTGGCTCTTCGACACAGAGAAATCAAAGGGCTAATGCGGAATGATTCGATGACTCATTGTCTGGCTCGAACGATCAACGGAAGAAAATGAAGAAAGAACGTAGCGCGTTTCAGCACGTGCCCCGTAAATGGCGACGCACGTGCCAACCCCTATTTTCCGAATTAATCTTTCGGGCTACCCCAATGAACGGTCGTTTCTCGTTTTGAAGATGTACATGGCTGAACAAACATGCGGCAATGCAATTGCAAACGTTCGACGATCAAAGACTGATCGTTTCTTAGGTCGGTGGTAAAGGTTTATCGTATTTATATAACAACTTTATATTCGGAACGAGTTCTACACGTATGCGATTTAAAAATTCATAGAGAAATGCACGTGAAATTTCGTGTCCGATGTAAGAAAAGAGAAAATTAAACTTTCTCGATCTTGTAGCACGAAATTCTTATGTTGTTGATCAATCACTGGAGCAGAAAATTTGCCACACTTTCCTGGAAATCGATTATAATTATTAGCTCATAAAAAATAACATTGTTTATTTAATAGGGGCGACACAAAGTCGAGATAAATTTAATCGGTATTGATTTTGATCTTTCGAAGAAGTACCAGCATCTTCGCGATTATTAGATAGAGTATAGTGAGTGTGCTTTCTTATAATTTATTTAAATGAAAAAGAAAGTGAATAATAATTTGTAAAACTAATTATTCACGAAGAAGCTTCTAAAGTTATAGAGCATAGGTCGTTAAAACAATTAGAGCGATAGAAAAATGAAGAATTATGCAGTTACATATTCGGTTTGCCAAGAGTGAAAGATAAAGAGCATATTCGTGATCGAAACGCGTATGTGTTGGAGCAGCTGTTACGGTTGGGGCACGCGTCCCAACGGTCGCAACAGCTGCCCAGAAAATTCTCTACAGTGTCCTCAACTAGAGTTCCTGAACAATACATGAAATCTTCCATACGTTTGCGTTGCACAACTACAATAAACATACTCTCTGTAAAAAATAATAGAAATACGATTGAACCTAATGAGTTTTCCTCTGACCCTTATTACTTTAGATTTGCCACAAATTATCATTACCATTTACAACTGTAGTTTTTATTTAAAAAAAGTAATCATCAATCGACAAATAAATACGAGACTATTTTCACTGTAGAGTGCAGAGCATATTCGTTTGCTCTGCGCCATTAGTCTTTGCTGCATTTGATATTTGCTGTAAAATAACGAAACGTTAAATCTTGAACGTACAATTAGTTTAAGACTAATACGAAACGGTATTTAAAATTTAAATGTCAGGAAGGAGACGCGTCGAGGGGTAGGCTGCAAAGGTGGTATAAATTCCTTGGCACAATATCGGAGGGTAGTGGTAGCAGAAAACGTTGTAAAGAACGTACTATAGGTAACGGGAGCCCCCGCTCCGTGATGGGACACCAGGCCCGTATTATGTGAAACCTCTGACAACCCCTCAGGTAGTACGTTGCACATACACACGCGTGTGCATTGGAAACGCTCGGAGAAACGCCCTTCGTACATCTGCTCTGAAGGAAACTCATATGGCAGTTTGTCGGAGGCAACCGTAGTACACGGATCGAACGCGTTCAAGCACTGGACTTTGCCCCGAGGAACTTGTGAACTCTCTTCGTTCAAAATTTCGGACCACGATCAAACGATAACTTAGATTATCGTTAAACCGTTGTGGATAAAAGAATTAAGATTTGGGAAACATTTTTTACACTGATTTTCTTAAAGAATTCCTTCTTTAATTCGAATTATGTAATTCGAAGGAAACGAAGATTCTTCGAAAAAGACGAAACTAAAGAAAATGTGTAGAAAACATAGTGTTCCCTCTCAGGAAATCATTTCGATACCCAGAAGAACGGAAACTTTTTCTCTAGAAACTTGGATACCTCGTTCCTACGTGAGCAGCACCCTTCTGATCCTCGTGAATCGAAAGTGAATCGGGAAAAACAGTAGGAACAGTGAATCGGTTTCCAACGGTTCGTGAACTCCCGCTTAAACGATGACCACCAGAAATTCTAAATGCGCGTGACGAACGTCGTGCGCGTCTTAATGAAGAGTCATCCATTTAAGTCCAGTGTTCCACGCGGACTATCAAGATCGCCTCGTGCCAAGAGGAATGTACATCGACTGAAAACTTTGAGGACGTCGATCAAGGTTCAACTCCGTCATCGTCGAAACAGACGCTAAACGATCAGAATCATGGCTCAAATAACGGAACCAACAGCCGTGCACTGTTACACGAATCCGTCGTTTTGTCGACAATCCGAGTACATACCGGAAGACCAAACGGGCGATCTACCGCCACCTCCGCAATTTCAAAGCGGTAGCGACGATTTACCGCCACCGCCTCCGCCATTGCAATTGCAGTACAACGGCGGACAAAGTAATCCGGCGTTTCAAGGGCCGGTAGAAAATAAAATCGAGCGTTACGAGACTAGAGAGAGATATTGCTATTTGGAAGAAAGTAATGAGCCGACTCATCGAAGATACGGAAGCCTACCGATCGAGGAGCATCGAACGACGTACAATCGAGCTTCGAGGTACGACTACATTCAGGATGAGCAAACTGGTCGGATGGAAAGAAGGGGTTCCTCGAGGTACGAGTTTATTCCGCACCAGCAGGTGCAACAACGTTCCACACCGGTGACCAACCAAGACGATGGATCACGGATACAAAGTCGACGAAACAATGCTGGAAGATACGCCATTGTACCGGGTGATCAAAGTTATCAGGACGAGGAAACCGCATGGAACAACGCGAATCACTTATCGCCGACGAGAAAACACATTAACACACCCCAGGGTAAGTTGAAGGGATCGGTTAACGATACGGTCGGCGAGTTATGTATTTATGTATAAATTCTTATCGTTCGAAGCATAGAGACCCAGTTATTTAATTGTGGAGAGTTTAAATGTAAGTTTATTCGGAATAAATGTAAGCTTGAAATATTACTAGGGCGTTATACACGAGTGCCTTTGCAAGAAGAAGACCCTCCAGCGCTTCCGGAACGAAACGCGCAGGAATTGTCCGTCTCGCCGAAGAATAATTTAGCCACGCAAAAGCTGCACGAGATATTGACCACTCCTAGAAAACCACGATCCAGGTCCGAGGAGAGAACCCTGTCCCCAAGGAGACAACAGTCATTCAATCAAACCGGTACGCCACAAAGAAGAGCGCTAACTCCAGGTGGTTCTCCGACCGGTGCGTATTTTTCTTTGACACGAACACCCTTCGAGCGTAACTGCGTCTTCAAAAAAAATTCTAAGCCGGAGTCATTCGCAAAATGACTTAGACGCTTGTTACCCAAAAGTTTGCCCTGTTATAAAAATTCGTTCGCATTGACGAAGATTGTCTTTGAAAATTTAGGTCGAACCTTCAGTCCGACACGATCCACGCCTCATGGAACTCCTCCGAATCGTGGCTACTCTTCGGGAATTCAAACTTCTACGCCCAATAAAGAATCCTCGGCTAGAAGATGTCTACCATTGTTAGAAAACCCGTCCCGACAACAGGACGTTTGTCCAGCTAGTAATTGCGGTAGATTACGCTACGTTGGCACAGCGCCAGTCGACCTTGTGTCGATGGGTCACGGTGACCCACCGCCTCGTTACGCGTACATGGAGAACGGACCAGAATCTATGCCGATGGTATCCGGTTCGCCGCGATATCAAATGATACCCGCAGGACAAAAAAGAAACGGCTATCAAAGCGTAGAAAGCGCGTTCATCGCCAGAACAGCGGTGGTGAGTAGCAAGTTTTTCTAGCGTTAGATTCTGACGCTTTGCAACAGCGACGCGATGTAATCAAGCAGAATGCGCAAGAGGAAAAGGTGACCTAACTGGTTATTTATCTCCACAGGTTCCTCCACTATCTCCACCTAACAGCGAAGCAAACACAACCTTGGCCAGCGGTTTGGAGAAGCACGACAGAAGAAACGCACCGCTTCTATTGATCCTCGTCGGAATTCTGACTTGCGGTTTGGCTCTCTATCTGTCTTGGACGCAAGGAAGAAGGTATTTGTTTCCCGCAACGCGAACAAACGTTGTTTTCCAACGCTAAACAGCTCGATATTCCATTTCAGATATTATTACGACAGCGCGGCAGGTTGCGGCGCTTGTTGCGCTCTCGCAGGAGCTTGCAGGATACTCAGGAAAACTTGGACAGGACTTGGCCTCGCAGGACTATCGGCATTGAGCTGCGCGGGACTTTTATTGCTCGCCGCCAAGGCCCCCAAAGCTGGTACGCCTCTTCACGATGTCACGGCCGGTGCTTTGTGCGGAGTCTCTTTATTGGGTGCTGTTCTGGCGTTGATAGCGCTTCTCTCACCGAAATGCAATTTAGGTAGACACAGAAGGGTTCACTCTTGGATACCTCGCTTATCGCCTTAATTATCGATATCAGTATTGTTTTTATACAAAATGAGTACTGCTAGAGGAATAACTTCCCACGAAAAGATAAGAGTATCGAGAGAAAAGCGGTTTCTAGATGAGCAAAATCCTAGTCTACTGTTTTATCGAAAGCATAAATTATTATATTGTAATACGACATAATGTAAAAGATTAACCCTTTGTGAACGAAGTACATTAACTTCGCAAGGGGTTAAGAACTTCGATTTCTTAATCGACTCGTCAATTGTATGTAACGTAAAGCCAAATGAATTTATTATATGGACAAAATAAAATGTAATCCTTAAGGAAATGTATTTAGAAATAAGGCATTTGTATTCTTGAAAAGAATTATTTTGTAAGATCTTGTATATTTGACTGTCGCTCGTCGAATAAAAAGATTGATACAACCACCCTTAGAACGAAGCGATTCATTGTCCCTACCGAAATCCTCGTTCGTTTCAGTGACATATCTTTCCAAGATTGTTTGACATGTAACGTCACAACCGGATATATCTGTTATCGCTGATTCACCGGTAGGAAGTCGAGTTCCCTTGGTTCGAGCAACATCTCGCTATTTAGATTTCATACGCGTCGAACGTTTTACTTTGTTATTCATTGTGAGTAAGCTATCACGAGTGCAACGATAAAATGTAATTTCTCTGGCGAACCGATTGCAGTCGATCACCGAACAATAAAGAATGAAAGTATCGGTAGTGTTAATTTTCGCGATACGAGTTTCCATCGTTCCTGGAAGGCTGACTATCTTGAGAGGACGAGAAGAGACAAGGTTATACAGCCACAGCAGTAGGAAATTGGTTTGCGTGTCAGAAGACGATGACGGAGCTTTGATTTGGAACAGTAACTTGAACTGGATGTACAGTCCGTATGAATTTTCAGATAGGGGTGGGAATACGAGTAAGTTTATTCCTTAAAGATTCTAAGCAGTTATCTTTGAAGCATAAGATTCGGATTACACAAACGTTTGCATAGATTTTCGTCGATTGAGAACGTACGCGAAGGGACAGATAGATTGCAACTTGGATTCGCACGGTGACTGCATGTCAGCATGGTACACTGCCGGTTGGAATTTGACGAATTCTAAAGGAACGCCTATGGGACCTGTATTTGATCGTCGATGGGAAGGTTCGCTCGGTTAACCCGATAGCGAGCTCAAATAATCTATCTCAAAACGGCATTTCAATTTTCAGACTTCAGAGAACTGAATAATTTCGGCGGATTGTACGAATATCGTCTTGCGGATCAATTAAAGAAGTCAGGCGCTTTTGTGGTTTCCGTTCGTGGATCCACGGATGCGCATATACTCTTATGCGATACCGAATATGTTGAAATCGATTTATGTTATTGGATTATCATCGGTGGCTGGAACAACGAAAAATCTGTGATACGAAAGTGTGCCAAAGGTGTACCGCGTCCGTCAACGTTTCCTATCGAACCTACCTGCAAAGAAATCAGGGCTTTCTATCTTGTAATTCTTTTACACCTTTTTAAAACGTGTTAATTCTATGTCGCAACCGGGTAAATTCTAATTATTGTTTCTTATATAGCATAAAATACTCTCTCCAACCGAGTGGAGAACGTTCATCCTCGTATGGAGCGAAAACCCACGAAGCATATCGGTCTACGATACTAAAAAGTTGCTAATGACGTACCGGGACGACGAAGAACAACCGCGAAATCAAACTCACGATTACAAATTGTTTCTAAGGAGTTCCAAAACGATGCTCTTCCGATTTCACATATGTGAGTCCTTTGCGAAATTAGCAAGTAGAGGGGCAATCAGTTAGCCGATTAACTTTAAAGAATGATTGCAACGAACAACTCGATTTCAGACAGTTTTCTCCACACAACCGATTTTACGGCAACGTTACTCAGTCCTGAATTCGACCTAATCAACAGAAATCTTTGCGTGCAAATGATAATCGGTCTGTGCAATAAATGTCGGATGGAAGCAGTGTTAATCGATTCGGTCGATCAGGACAGGGAAGAGAGTTTATACACGATATCAGGATCCACGGTAACCGGTGCTCATGGTTTGGCTATGTGGCAATACCTCCGGATCAACAAAACGATATCGCCTAACATCGGAAGGAAAGGAAGAATCAAATTGATCCCAAGTCTCGAGCAAAGAACTCCGAATCCACTATGGGCCGTAGCGAATGTTCGCATGTGTTCACCAGTAGGTACGTTTTCGTTAAACGATTTCATGAAAAGTCGATTATAAGCCCTTGCTCGTAGATGCTGTACGATACGGGAGCATGGAAACTACGCAGGATTACGCGAACGCCGCGTACTTCTGGCCAAATGTTACTTGTCAAAAGTTACTTTACAACAATCATGCTATTGTAAATTCTGCACTCGATGTCACGTTTGATTCGCAATTTGGTAAGGTTTCTCTTATGTTTTATTACAATGCAACGAGTAGATGTACCAACTTTGTATTGCAGGCGATCTGTACTGTTCTAACGGAATGGTAGGTCCTCACTGTTCCATTAATTGCTATACTCACTTTGGATACCACGAAGACTGCAGAGGAATCGCAATTTGCGAACAAAATGGCTGCACGTGTCCATCAGGTTTCGTGGGAAACAGCTGTTATTCTAGTAAGAATCTCCCGATGTAATCGGGCTAAAAAACGGACGTCGTTCATGGATTTTACTTCCAGATTGCGATATTGGCCGGTATGGATACGGTTGTACGCAAACTTGTGGCTGGTGCCAGGGTAACAATTGTGATTTCAAGACAGGATATTGCACAACCGGTTGCAACAACTCTAAAAGATACAATATTCCACCTTTCTGTAAAGCAGGTAAGACATCGACACTAAAATATTTCTGGAAAGAACCGTTGGAATCTTCTTTGCAGGCATAGATGTTCTTCCGCCACCGACCATTGACTTTGTCAACGAAACAGTCGTCCGTGCTATTCTTCCAGTAATGGACGAGTACAAACTTATAACTACCGGTTATCGATTTGTCATCCAGGTATTCATTCACATACTTAACGCGATTATACGTGCGTTGATCATTACAAGAGGGTTGTGCTTTATTATTAGAAAGAGGGAAAGACCAACAGCCGTTATATTGGAATTTATACGAAAATACTTAACAATGCCACGAAAATGATTGCGTACACAGATGATTTAGAATTTGGTACTTCTTATCAAATTTCCTGCATATTGTATATTAACGATCAGATAACAGTACCGGGAAGATGGACAAATTTTACGACTCGTTGCACTTGTGAGCTGTTAATTAAACTAGTCAATAACGAACGTTGATTTAACAGATACGGGAATAACTTGCGACATTTTTCAGCGACAACCAATTTTCTAGTAGACGTAAAAAATACCAGTTTAACGTTGAAGAGAGATCAAGAAGCAGTAAGTGTTAATCGCATTTTTTTTTTTAAATTGAAAACTGAAATAAAAAATGAAACCGTGTCGTAGGTGCCGTATTCTTGCCCAGACGAATGGTACGATCTCCTTTTTCAAAACATTGAGAGCCGAGTTGAAATTTACAGAGGAACCTTATTCAAGTTGCCACATAAATTCGAAAAATTAACACCATACACGGTCTATAAAATGACAATCAATAAAGGAGCGGCGATTTTATTTTCACGAGAGATTCAAACTCTCGAAGGAGGTAATTCTGCGACTCAATTGCGAATCTCTTTCACTTAAACATCTCGTGTATTTTTCTACTTTTGCAGTACCATCTCCAATACGAAACATCAGAATATTACTAGCTCCAAACCAGAATGTGACTCTGCAATGGGATCCTCCGCTATATTTAAACGGAATGATAACGAAATACGAAATTGTACTGCAGGTAATAAGTAAAAATCAGTTAATCAAGCATCAACTTTGGTGAAGTTAACAATGTTTCTTTATGTGAAGCTCGAAAAGTATCTCGGCTGCCAGAATCGACAAACTCAATCTCGAAAAAGCGACACGATTTCGACCTCCACTGCTTTCACCAGCATGACATTCTCCAATTTAAAGCCATACGCGTATTACGTTGCAAAAGTTGCAGCTTGCACTGCCTATTGCGGGCCCAAAAAGGCTACTGAATTTTCCACTCATCAGACTGGTATCTATTCGTCGACAGCAATATGTTGTACAACATCCAGAACGCTTAAACCTATCTATGCTTTTAGAAACTCCGACTGAAAAGTACACGAATTTGAGAGTCCAAGGTTACACGCTAATGTGGGACCCACCGAAAGATTGCACTACGATTTCTGGGACTATCATTGCTAGAATCGTTGTCAACGGCATCAGTAACGCGGTATCGAACGTCAGCATCACGAGGCAAACCACAAAATATTTTATCGATTTCACTGACTCTCTTTATGGCGTTGAAACGTACGAAGCAAGGGTTTACGCGATCAGAGATTATTATAAACAGCACAACGAATTACTTTACGAAAAGCTAGTTTTCACTACTCCGCCAAAAGGTTGGGTGAGAAATAATTGAATTATTTAACCATTAAACGAAATAATTGTAATTTGTCCTCGACAGCCCCACCTCCAGTAAATAATCTAGAAATATTCGAGATCGATGTGCTGCGTAGGCTGGTGCAGTTAAGGTGGCAAGAACCGAACCCGCCAATTAACGGGAAGATAGAATATTATACTGTAAATATTTGTGCCCAAGGTTGCGCAACTGTTTTAAAGGTGCAACCAACGGAGTTTTGTAATCTGTGGAGCAAATACATTTGCGCGACTATCGAACGGGCTCATCAAGGATACCAATTAGTCACGGTATGTATTATTTTTGCATCGCGTAAAATTTCGGGAAACTAACACGCGTTTCAGGTTTCAGTGAAGAACGAAAATGTTTCGACGCATAGCGACGCGATGTCCGTACCAATTATTCCTAATGAAAACCAACCAGACGAGCCTGACATTATTGCAACCGATATACTCGACAGAGGAGTCGTCAATTTCACCTGGGCCCACCCGTGGAGATCAGGAGGTCGTCTAACGAAATTTGAAATAACCCTTGAAATAATATCATCTCGTCTTCGAATGAAAATTCAACGATCACAAATGACCACGTTGCACGAGTATCTAATCGAAAGTTATCAACCTCGATACAGCCAAGAATTGCACTTGCTATCATCGTCCACGTACAAGATTACCGTTCGGGCCGTAACAAACACGGGAAACCGTGGACAGGGGAATGCGGTGGCAGTGCAAACACCTTCGTGCATGGGTTTCGAAAAGAATCTAACATCGGAAGTACGCGAAAGCGCCTCAACCATCTCACTGCATATTCCTAACATTCTTAATGACACGAGGAACAGTTTAACTACCATAGTTGTAACAGGTTCAAAAGCTTGCAAACATCGTGTAGAATTGAACTCTTATCTCGGCGAGAAAGTTGGTATCAAACATAATGAAAATGTTCTGCGTAGTTTCTGGTTCCCTGTAAGTATAAACAACTATCCAAGTTATAAAATAAATATAGTAGACTCTCGTTACATCGTTACCGAATGTATTATTCGCGACAGACCGAAGAATACGCTGGTAAAACGTTCACGATCGATTATAAACTTAACAACGATGCCACGAATTGCCCACTGATGCCTGAAGAATCCTACGCGATAGCGATCATCGTGCAAAGCGAAGAGGAATCGACGGACGATCAGATCCTAGTGCAAACAACATCGATTCGTATCGGCGCGGCGTCGAAGCGACACGAAGCGTGGCTAATTCCAATTACGATAATTGTCGTCGCTGGAACCGTGTTCTTTTACCTGTACCGAAGGTATACCTCTGCTTCATTCACTCGACTCGGAAATAAACTCGTGATTTTCTCTACAGAAGAAGAAATAGATCTTTGAAGAAGATTATTCTGCAAGGAGAAACGCCTCCGACGTGCAACAACGACAATCTCGAAGTGAATTCAATTTCATCGAGCTCCAAACAACCTTTCACCGCGATGTCCACTCCTTCCGATAAAGAACTGTTATCACGAGCGAACACGCCTCACGATGATATCGTGGTATGCGTAAACGATATCGATCTGAACGAAGAACGATCGTCTCAGGTAAAGGTGAAGGATTTCGAAGATTACGTGAAACAGGCGATCCATTCTGGACTACTTGAAGCTCAATACAACGTAAGTGCTTAACTACTTCGATGGCATCGTAAGATATCGCGCTGATTTGTATGTATTGTTTACGAAGACGCTGCCACGAGGACAAACGAAGGCATGGGATTACGGAAAATTACCGGAGAACAAATCGAAGAATCGATACGGAAATCTCATAACGTGTAAGTGATATATAGTTATGTATTCTGAAAAGTCTCTAGTAAGCCCAAAAAATATTTACATTCCATAGACGACGAAAATCGAGTTGTTCTACAGAAACTTCCGGATGATCCTTTCTCGGATTACATCAACGCTAGTTACATCAAGGTAGTAAAATATTTGACTAGTCAAAAAATAACTAAAGGATGTACGATATAAATTTTCGTTAAAGGGCTACAAGAAGGAGAGATGTTACATAGCCACGCAAGGACCAAAGCCGAACACGGTCATCGACTTCTGGAGGATGATTTGGCAAGAAGAAGTTCTCGTAATCTGTATGCTTGCGAACTTAACGGAAGGAGGAAAAGTAAGATACTCCAGATAGAAAGATTAACATCGATCAATGAAAAGTTTCATAATCAAATGTTTTTAGATAAAATGCGAACAATACTGGCCCGACATTGGAAGAAAGAAGAAATACGGTGATATAATTGTCTTCAACGCTAGACACAACGTGTTCGCGGATTACACGTTCCGTACTTTGCACGTGTCGTGTGGAGACGAAGCTCGCAAGGTAGTGCAATCGTTAACGAAACTTAGCCCTTTCGCTGCGGTGAATCGTACGTCGTTAATTGCAAAGAAGACCATTGGAATCGCACGCTGGTATACCAGTTCTTTGGTTCCATAGCGAACTTTTGCTTTCTTGCGCCGAAAATTTGTCGTAGACGCGTCGTAAACTTGGGAATTTCTAAAGATCGACGCTAATTACTTTTTAACGACTTGCGCAACTCCCAATCGAAGACAGAAGAAAACTTCTCGTTCGCGATCGCTGAAATTTTGTTCGGTGAATGGCTGTATTTTCGCTATAAAAAAGGCACGATGGGAAGACAATTCATTCGCTAAATGAAGTAGTTGAGGAAGATTCGTAGGTTTTTCCAGTAAATTAAGCACTTGTGTGCTTTTTATGTCCCCGGCTTAAATACTAAATAGTTCTAACCACGAGGAAACGTAGAATATAAATACGTTTGATCGATCAAACGAAAAATACCGCAGCGAAAGAGCGAAGCTTTTACGACTCTAAGCTTAAACTGTACCGTTAAATGGTGTTTAAAAATCAGATCGAGCATTTGCATTACACAGCATGGCCAGATCATGGCGTGCCGTTGTCCACGCATTCAGTGGCAACGTATATGAAGAAGCTGCTAGCAACACCCTCCGGAAGTGGTCCGATCGTGGTCCATTGCAGCGCAGGTGCAGGAAGAACCGGGACTATAATTTTATGCGACGTTTGTTTGCGAAAAATCGCAGTTGAAGGGGTAAAATATATTTCGCACATATTTTTGGAGTATCCCTAATCGATAAGATGTCTTTCACAAATACTTTCAGGCGATCGATGTATTCGCCGAAATTAAATCGATTAGAAGTCAAAGGGCCAACATGGTAGATAATAATCAGCAGTATCGCTTGGCTCATTTAACGCTGGTCGAGTGTCTATTTGCTATTTCAACGTCTGTTCCGTGTGACGAACATCTACCAACGAAAGTCAACGAGCTTAAGAAGCAATTACACGTTCAACGAGACAAGTAGTTATTTGATTATCCTACGAACGATCGATTTAATTGTTCATTGATATTTCGAAATGATTTACAGTTTAGAAAAGATGACTTGGAAAGAGCAGGCCCTTCGATCGTCGCCCGGTCAAATGAAATTATCGGAACGCAACTTAGCCAAACATCGATTTCCAGAATTAGCTTCAGGTTCGAAATAGTTTTAAGTGCAATTTTTGAACGGGTCTCTGACACTTACGTCACTTTGCAGGGAATTTTAACAGGGTGTTTTTAAAAAGATATCCAGCCACGGACGAGGACAGCGACTATATAGCCGCTATTTACGTGGACAGTGTAAGATTGCAAAATCAGTACCTAGCAACGCAACTTCCGTTGCCTGGAACGTTCAGCGATTTCTGGAGAATGGTAGCCGAGTACAAAGTGGAATTAATCGTGCTATTACAGCCACCAGATCCGAATGATACGGTCGGTATTTTATCAAGTAGCTGAAAATATGTTTTCACGAAAAACCAAACGGTTTCGTCATTTTCTACCGCATTTACAGACCTGTTGTCCAATCATTCCAAGCGGAGAATTTAAACCAGTACCATACATAAACGTTCGATCGAAAGAATTTATCGAATACGAATCGTACACGTCGCAAAAATTGGTACTTGTCGATAATTTAGAGGTAGGTGACTAAATCTGTTTTGCAAAGCGAGAATACAATTCTTATTTCGACGGGAATTCGTTACAGAAGCCAGTCACGGAACAGCAGATAACGATTTTAAGCTCTACGGCATGGCAATGTGGTAGGGATCAAGATCCACCTGCTACGAGGATGTTGGTCAACCTGTGGCAAGCTGCGGAGAAAATTTCGAGAGGAGGCGGACCCACCGCTGTTCTCTGCCAGTAAGGCTTCTTGCAGTTTCAAAAAAATGTCTTCATACAGAACGTTGGAAAAAGATTAAGACTCAGCGAGAAAAGCGCTAACAGATTTCTTTAATTACTTAATTCAATGATCATCTACGTTAATAAGTTTCTTCAACGCTCTTCGAAATATATTAAAAGGTATTTATTTCTCGAATTAGCGACGGTGTAACCGGCTGTGGACTCTACTTGGCCTTAAGCTTTCTTTTGGAGAGAATGGCAGTGGAAAGGGAATGCGACGTTTGCTTGGCAATTCGCGCGATTAGAAGATCGAGACCCGATTTCGTAAAATCTGTGGTAAATTTCAATCACGCACGTTATCTCTTTGAAATATCTCACGAGACTAACGCTCATCATTTTAATTTCAGAAACACATGGAATATCTGTACGACGCAGCGATAACGTACCTAGGGTACTTCGAAACCTACGCGAACTTCTCGTGAAGAAATCTCGATCGTTAATCTAGCTTGGACGACACAATTTGTTACATAAATTGATTCGATTAATTTCAACGAGCTTCCAATCAAGACTGTCTTTTCTAAACTCTTCTATCGTTTCAATTATAAATTACAATCGTTACGTAATCATTTTAAGGCCGAGACCACTTACTCCCCGATTTTCATCGTTTTCCGTCGCTTTCGTGCACCCAAGGTAAACGACTTTCGTTCCCACGAACCTTATCCCGATACATCGTAACCGTGTGCAGTAACGACCTCGTCATTCTGTCTGCATCGCCAACTGCATACGTATAGTGTCTCTCAATAGTATCTTTAGGATATTGTAACCTATAGTCGACTAAACGATCGATGTATCTCAAAAAATATCCACGTGAATTAGCTCATAAGATCGCGTGATTTAACGTGGTTGAATTATTTTCTTTCGGGGAGTATAAGAGATAAGACCTGTACTGTCAATCGATAGACTAATCACGATTTTAAAAACCAGACTATAAATTTACAAAACGATTTCTCGCCTAAAGGAGGAAAAGAATGATTCTTGGCTAACTGTTTTTCACATGATCAAAATTTATGTTGAAATAAAGATACCTGAAATTGTTTAAGTTAAAGCGAATTTTAAAACAATAAAAACACCTAAATACATATCGCACGTATATGCACGAAACGATACATTGATGATTTTTAAATCCTCGGTAAAACAAAACGCAAACGTTGAATAATGCACAATTAATAATAAAGGTACTCACGAAAAAGTAGAAATTCGTTTCAAACTGATTTCGAACCGTGTGCAAACGTGGACGAGCAACCAGTGACGTCATCATTGCGCTTTCGCGCCAAATTCCATCGACTCAAACGGGTCTATATCCAACAATGTCACGGCCGTCGTCGATAATGAAACTCTAAAACAAACAACAAAACGAATGCACTTCAACTACTTTTCAACTTCAAAAACACCTCTTCCGCGTAATTTCAACAAAAATATTGTTTGTAACCGTTGACTTTGATTTCGACACGTCAACTAGAAGAACTGTCAAAGTCTGCTCACCTTTATCGCGATATACGTTGAATCGGTGCTGCGACACGGTTAAATGATCGATTCTCGTTGTACGCAGAAGTGTCGGTTAATTGATACGATGGATAGTTAATAAAATCCGAAAAAGTATTCTCGGAAAAAAAGAGAAAATGAGAGGAAGGTTTTGCAGCCGTGGTTCCCTTCCTCCAGCCGTGAGCTTACTCTCATGGCCGACAGAGGTGGCGAGAGTAGCGCCGATAACTGGTAATCGCGAAAGGTATACACAGTCGACCTCCTGTAAAAGTTTCATCTCCGCGGATATCTTCACGTGCTTTTTCGTGTATCGTGGACCCAGTGGAAAGTATCAAAAAGGTGTGCAAGGTGTGGCTGACAAGCACTGTATTGTTCGTTGTTCTGTCGTACAAGCAACGTGAAAACAGACGCAAGAACGTACCACTCTGACGAGCAGCAGGTAAGAATTTTCCTGACATTTTTCGCCGCTACTCGTAAAAAATACTCGTACGCGTGTTCTTGCGTCCGCAATCGTATCATTTTCTCCGCGTCACGATCCGAGTTTCGCGATCGAGATCGTTTGTTTTGTTTGAAAAGCGCCAGAAATGCGGGACACGCGTGTCATGTTTCGATTCAAGGCCAGGGAAGACATATTGGCACGTGAACAGGACCCGTGAAAAAAACGGGCCGCCCTGAATCGTGAATAATGGTGATTATTGCTGCGAATTTATTTGTTTGTTCGTATAGGTTCTATCGGCTGTCCCGATTGTCGAGTACATTTACCCGACGAGTTTACGTTTGCGCGTGCTGCGTCACACAAACCCGCTTGTTGTTCTTTTTATGTTATATAAGGAACACACTTCGCACGAATGTGCTGCCGCCATCTTGCTGACGTAATAGAGCCGCGAAATTTAACTACCCGTCGAACGTCGGTTCTCCCGCGTTACGATCGAATTGACTTAGCTTTTTGAATCGTTTGAACTTTGAATGAACGTCTCTTATTGTGTTATGTTCGCATACGTAACCGCAAGATTTTCCTCGATAACTCGAGGATATGCATATCAATGCGCAGTGAACTGAACTTGAAAAGTTCTGACATTTGATCAAATTGAATTCGCATTTTTTAAATCGTGTCTTTGAATAAAACTTGCTGGAGCACGAGGTTCTTTCACCATAAATGAATAATAAAATTATCATTCGCCTAATAGCCATCTTTAACAATACCCTCGGTATTCGCGGCACGGTATTACGCTATGAACGTTTTATAATTTAATCTGTCCTGTCCACTCATTTATCCATTCACAGATCATCCGACCATGGCATATTTTCCTCCCGCTGGACGCTAATATGCTTTAAGATGTAACTTCCCAGTCGGTAGTAACGAATCACGTTTTTGTTACTACAAAACATTATTTACAACGAACGCTTACTAAGATTTCCAGAGAATATTAAGCTCCTCGACTCGATGAGACCTACTTTACGCGATATCTCATTTACTTGGCGATCGCGCGTGATATTCTACGATAACGAATATTATGTCGGATTCCTTGTCAATTTGCCATTAGCATAATCTGTGAGTGTATGGAAATCCAAGAGTCAGTTTCGAGCATTTGTGGATCACTCGAAGATCCAGACGATGATCAGAGGCAGCATAAGAAATACTTGATGTCATTACTCTTCCGATCCATGTGTTTCGGACAAGAATTGGAAAGCGATCGTGTGTTCAACAGGATCAGGATTCTAAAGTGGCGTGGCAACAAGGGCCTTATTTCTTCTGTTCGTGGATCGACGTCGTACAATTGCGTCTAACTCCGACAATCGATCCGACCGTGGCCCAACTTGACAGCAATTTAAAATCGCTTCTCCTCCTGTGAGTCGTACCAAGTGCACCGCCACCGACTACCGATTCTCCCACGAATTGATCTTGTCCTAGACGTTCTTCCGCCTTCTTCTTTTTTTTTACACGACCGACAACACTGACGTGACTTACCCGTCGATTGAATTACCCACGGGATATCCGTTCTCCATACAGTTGTTCGCGCTATTATGCCGTTGCTACGATTATTTAACTCACTAGCTAAACCCATTTACAACTGCATTGAAGAAGTAATTGTATAATGCGATAAAGTATTTATTGTAATTCGATAAGCAAATTGTTGGCTAAAGTATAAGAATTTCGGTGAAATGAACACGGTGGAGTTGTTCGCATATTGAAGATGTTCCGAGGAAAAGTGAAGGCAACGTGTTTTCAGGGAAAATGGCGATCACATCGCCGAAATGTCCCAAGGAGTCCAAAGTAGAAGCCAGGACTAGAAGTTGGATAGCAAGGCCGATCTTGAGCGCCGAGTTCACGGAAGATCCACCCTTGCATGACGTCTACGTGGGTCTGCTGAAGCAAAAAAGAAACATTTCAACGGCAATTCAAAGAATATCGTCCATTCTTCCAAACTTTCATCATCTGAAACGCTGTTCATCCAACAAGCTTCTGTTAGCACCTTTACGTTCAGCGGAATCACCCGCAGAACACATTTTAACTGCAGATAAATTGAAGACCACGTTGAGTGAGAAAGGATTTGACCTATCCTTATTGGAAGATGATTTTCAAGTTATAAAAGTACCAGCCAGACCTACCAGGACGAAAGCACAGGCAGCAAGGGCCTCAAAGATTTGGCCTTTGAATTTCCATCCAGATCCCAACATCGAATGTCTGATCGATGGATCCGTCTTCACGGAACAACAATTGGATCAGATAGAGATGTATATGAACGTTGCTGTAGACGTTGCAAGATTGGAAGCCGTTGGCAACGAAAATTGCAACGGCAGCGCGGTGATCGTTGATCCTGAAGATGGGAGGATCCTCGCGATAACTGCTTCCAGGATCGATCAGCATCCGATGTGGCACGCGGTCATGCTAGCCGTGGATCTGGTGGCAAAGCTTCAAGGTGGCGGTGCTTGGAAATTGAACGAAAACTCTCAGGATAATGTTCGAGCAGAGAACGGAGCAACCAAGGAAAAAATAATAAAAAGGAAATACATAGAGGAAGCGCCACTTTATTATCCTCCGTCGTTGTCCAACATTTGCCTACCTAAACAAGAATCTCTAAAGTCTACCGTTATTCGACGAGGACGCAAAAACAATGATTCCACTAAGATGATGGATTCAGAGAAAAGCGAAGCGGTAAACGCAGATGACAAGTGTGGCCCTTACTTGTGCACCGGTTACTGGACGTTCTTATTGAGAGAGCCGTGTCCTCTCTGTGCCATGGCTCTCCTGCATTCTAGAGTTTCGAGGATATTTTACGGAGTATCTAATCAGTGCACCGGCGTGTTAGGGTCAAAAACGGTTCTGCATGCTGTACCAGGTTTGAATCATCGGTATCAAGTTTGGAGCGGAGTTCTGGAGCAAGAATGTCGACAAGCGTTGCAAGAAATCCAGCACAGAAATACGGATTGACTCAGCCGATTTACTCGCAACAATTGATTGTAATTTTCTGTTAACCAACGATTCGTGGAACGACCACGATCACGCCTTTAAAAAATATTCCAAATGGAACGTTATTTTGTTGTAAATCTTTTGTATTTTATGAAGATTAAAAGATGGTTTACGATGCAGATTCAGTGGTTCATCGATCTTAATCGTGGTCGGTCTGTTGTCCAAATTTGGACACCTGTAAAACGTTTTATATTCACTATCGTCTAGGAAGCGTAACAAACGAGTTAGTGACGTTTTAACGGCAAACGTAACGACCGGTTTAGAATTTCAATCAAAAGCAGACGGCGTAGAAGATCTTACACGTGGTTTGAACGTGCATTCGTCCATTACGAGGTAGATATACCGAACGACCTTGACGTCTTAGTATAATTTGCAGGAATAGAGATCTCTAACCATCGGTCTGTTGCTGCTCCTTCGTCCACGCGATCAGCTAAACGTTTCGTTAGTCCGATGTTACTCGATAACTCCGAGTTAGCTGACGATTCTTCAAATTTTCTTTTACTCTTCTTTCGCTTCGATATCGTTCAGAGTCCACATAAATGTATCTTCGTCTGAGTGCAACATTGACGATCAGTTGCTCGACAGATTTAAGGTTCGTAAGACACGAGTATCGCTCGCAGTTAACCAGTAGTTAATTAATTAAGACGACGATTCTTAAAAGCATTGCGTCAGAGGTAGCAAATACCCGTGTTTTTTTTAAAGAACGTTTCGATCATTGAAGCAACAAAAAAGTTGTTCCAGATGCTTCTTTCTATGTTTGTGAAAACTTTAACTCTCGAAATACCAGCAGATTATCAGCTCGTACGTACATACGACTGTGAACGAGGGAACGAAAAAGGAAGCAGAAAAGAACAGCAGCGCAAAATTTATGACGACTAAAGTAATCGTATCATCGACATTATTCGATCGTGGCGTTTGAAAAGTATAGTTCCTCTAAAATGAAACGCGTGCCCCGCCGAACGAGTAGCCTCGTTGTTCGAAGAACGAAGTCATATACTTCGCTACAGCGAGAGACAAGGTCGCGAAGCAATTCGACGAGAGCATGGTCGTTGATCTCGTAGGATCGCTCGAAATGTAGCGCGATAAACTGACCACGAGGAGTTCCTTTTCCGCGATACAAGCGGTGACACGCGTGGGTCCAGAGCGCTCTTCGAACAACGAAACTTCTCTCGTTCTACGAGCTTTCCTGTCGTAAGACACGCGGACGGTTTAATTCGTGTGCAAGCGAGTAGCGCGTATAACAATGACCTCGCGGATTAACTTCAATCAGCGAAACTTCAGACGTCTAACCCCGTTGAGCTGGCCAGCTTTGCTGAACGGATGTACGTGCAAACGCGCGCAAAGATGCTTAGGAGAAAATGGTGGTCACCAGGGAATTAGGAAGCAAGATTCGTTTGCCGCTCGAACGAAATGAAAAGTTTCTTTTTATCTTCCTTTTTTCCTTGTGACTGCTATGTGTGAGGGATTACCGATAGAGTTTATTAATTAGGTATTAGATATTACTGACAATAAATCGAGAACCTTAGAAGTCTTAAAAATCTTGGTCGAGTTTAGTATTCTTTCGAATTGCTTGAAAATTCGTGAAACGGAGTTCACGAAATCCAGTGCTCCATGAGCATACATTAACCTTGTTATTTCAGGTTCTCCATCTGCCATGTTAGCTAAACTCGTCACTTTTCTGGAACGAAGCATATAACAACGTTGCCAACAGCAAGACTTAAGAAGCCGATTTGGAAATTTGGAAACCTAGCGCGAATAAGATAAGAGTCTCGTATCGAAGACACCTTTGAGTCTTGCAGAGAAGCTCCATTAACGACCAACAAGTTGCTTCACGTCCTTCGTTGCACTAGCTGGCACGTGGCTGTCCATTAACGTCACCCGGAAACCCATCAAGCAGCCACCATTTTTATTTCCACGGTTTATTCAGGGTACGCTCGAGACGATCGCAAAGCAACGAAAGATTCTTCTTCGCGATCTCGCTAAAAGCATCGTGACGAAAATACGCTTGTCGAAAGATAACATCTCGAAAGTAATTAATCCACGTGGCAAACAAGTAATCTTCGCGGCACGGTTGTTCGTCTGAAGTCAACGAGAACGTCATCATCGCTATTTCTTCGCTGCATCGGTTGAAAGTTTCAACTTCTTTCTGGAGAAAAAGAAGGATTACGTTACGTAACATTTGAAAATTATTGCTACGGCAGTGAAACAGAGAAGGATTCAGGTATTAATCAAAATTCGAATTTAATACGTGACCAAATACGGGACGATTCTACGAGGTAAACCGAGTCACATTTTGCTCATCAACACTGAGTGGCTCCAATTGACGGGTCGGGTCGACCCTCCAGCGTAGACACTATTGGTCAGCCTTTTAATACCAACGGTCGCGATTGGATCGGATAGTCGGTTCGTTCTTAGACAGAAGACATAGCCGGAGCATTCGGTTAAAAACTTTTAACGTCGTCAGTGTCGCGCAATTTACAGTCCCACACGTTGTCGTTGTCGTCGTCGTTGTTCGTAAGGGTAGAGAGACCAACCAAACAGACATTCGCTCGTCTGATTTATCTCAGTCGGTTTGAAGTCGGTCAACGCTAACAGCGAGCCTCGTAAAACGAAATCAAAAACGACACGTAACAACTGAAAGGAAGCGATTTTATCAGGAAGTCGACGCTGCTGATACACCGGAGGCGCTCACGCGATCAATTTCAGAAGAGGATTTGCATCGTCGGAGGTTCATTGAAAAAGCTTCGTCGTAAACAACAACTTTACTCGTCGGCGATAATTCGAACGCCAAGTGAATGGCTCAAATCTACTGGTTACTGCTCTTTGAAAGATCTTGATCTTGATGGTGATCGTCGTCGGGAAACGTGGAAAACTAGCTTCTGGAGAGTTTCGAAAAGGAAGCGAATCGACATCCGCGTGATAAGTTCCTAGTTTCCACGAATCCGAGCAAAAAGAATCGTCCTTTGGAGATCTTCACGAAGGATTCGTTTTCCGGAAGGACGAAAGAAGTTTGGGAAACGCCGAAGAGCAAAACGAGTGTCTCACTTGGTCAAACGGCAACGAAGCCTCGTTTTTTCCTCCACGATTAAGTTTATCTTTCTGTCGGCACCATGGAACGAAGGATTCTGAAAATGTGGTGACGACGTGACAGGCGAAGGCCTTCGATTACTAAGACACTATCGAGTGTGTGAGCCATAGTCGTTAGACAGCAATCGAGATATATTTTACGTGTCCAGTGACACTCGTTCGGAGCAACGACATTGTTTAAACTATTTCCTTCTCGAGGCTGCTTTCTCGTGGATATAGTACGTCAGATTCAGTCCGCAATTAAACACGATTCGGTTGAAAATTGTATTCGATCGAGTTTGATAAAGGGATCGATCATAGTTTGGAAAGGACTCGATAAGGACAACAGACGTTCGCGAAGCGACGTGCCAAGTACCGTTGTCCTTTCGCGTAGCTGGAAAATTTGCTAAGGAGCAATAGTAACAAAATGCGTTGCAGTCAAGGTGTGGCGATGGTATTCGAGGACGCGTTCGTCGTCTTTTCGCGTTTTTTGTCCCTAAAGTCACGGGGTTGTGCACTATTGGAAACGCATCGGCAACGCGAGACAACTGGCATCAAGAAATTGTACAACAGCTTCTTCGTGATGTTCTAAGGATAACTGTTGCCCGAGGAAAGTCGGCCCTTTAACTGGCGGTGATCGAGTGATGCGCCGTGCACTCCCGGGACACCTTCGTGGATCCTTCCTGAAGGAAACTAACGAGGAGAACGCACGAAGCAAGGTGAACGTTTTGCTTCCGAAGGAAAGATAAAACACAGGATACGAAGGGACCGAGAAACATCGTTAATTTCAGAATGCAGACTAGACTTTAGGACAGTTTAAAGAAAAATCTCGATAGTTTTTCGCCGTGGACAATTTGCTAACTAGCTTCAATTTATCGCCCACGATTCGGGAATCGGCTGTCAAAGCCTTTTCCAGAGAATCTTCGAGCACTCGAGCGACAAAAGGAAAGAATTTGGATCAGGATCAAAGCAATTTGATATCTAAAGGCCGGTATAACGGAGCAGATAAACTTGTCCGAGTGCTTTGAGATTTAGGATCGTTGAATGGAGCTCCAATTCATTATGGACGGTAGTGCAGACTCTTTGAACGGGACCATATGGTTTCAAAACACACCGTCGCCTCCGTACGAGCAACTGTCTCCTGTTCGACAGAATAGATGCGACCCCCTCGCTTCTCAACATGTAAGTATGACTATTACCCTGTTTTCTGCGTGTCACAACGTAGAAACGTTACTTAACTCTTCTTGGAATTCATAGTTTTCTTCGTTCATTATTTCCTTCGAGTTTTATCGAATTTTGCAAGATTTGAAAGGTGGTTACCACCCTGTAATTCAAAGAAGAGTTAGATCGAAGATACCCAGTTACTTGTACAACGATCATCTGCATGATATTTGTCGAAACGGTGTCTCGGGACGATACTCCTTCCAAAGATCAAAGAACGAGTCAATTTCGCGAGTCGTCCCGTGAAACTGACTATATCAAACATTTTATAGGCGTCAATGGGATATCACAGTCCACAAAATTCTTTCTGGCAGGACAAATACGGTTCACCAAAGGATTCCCCCGAGGACGGTGTTCAGCTACGGTCCAGCAACGAGTCCCTTCAACATTTCAGGCCATCTTCCGACGATGCTGCTACAACCACTCCAAATTGTCAGCAACAGAGCAGTCTGAAACGTCGAGCCGCTGAACCGTTGTCACATATTACCAAGCTCGAGAAGAAGCATGCTAGACAAGATGGTTAGTATATGTCGAGACGTTTACTTTGCTTTCAGACGATGAAACTGCACATTTTATCGATTAATAACAGAATAGGTTAAAGTTCACTGAGTGATAGAAGAGTGTTCGCAGGCGTTCGCAATGGTTCGAGGTAACACCGTTGAATTTTTGGTATTTAAACACATAGAAATACGATGAAACGAGAATAGACGTATTCTCTATTTTTGTTTTTATGATTTTTAACGAACACCCGCCTCTTTGTGTACCCATTGTCGCTATCGTGCTGCTCTTAGCGTTGATATGTCGAAAGGTCGTGTACGAGCGACCTCGGATACACGGTCGTAGGCACAGACCTTTTCATTTTAATCTTCTACGTTTCTACGAGGAATAATCTCTTTAAATTGTTATCTGAAACTTGAAATTAGGATGCGATAGTGTTTGATACTCAAGAATTTCACTTACTTTGTTCGAATTACAAAACTCCTGCCAAGTTTGCGAAATATCCCCAAATGGAATATTTCATCAACTCTCATTCGCTAACCAGCATCTCCGTCGGTCTTTCATCGACGAAAAATCGTCGCTTCGTTAAATATAACGAACACGTGTCAAAACAGACGGCTGCTTCGAAGGACACTCAAAGACTGATCCGCGAAAAGCATGGCGCGGAGTTTCTTCCCAACGTTCGACGCCTTTTTGACCACGTGGTCGTAGAAACTGATAACTCTCGAGTACACAGTATCTCGCAGATTATGTCTATCCGAGGGAACCGAAAGAAGCCAATATTAACTCTCCGTTACGCGAAAGGTGTATACGGGTTTCGGGTTTTGTTTTATCGATAGTGTTCTCTTCGAGTGTGAGGTTGTGTCCCTTTGGTTCCGTTAAGGATAGAGAATGAAGTGGTGCGAGGTGGACAGCTCTAGGTTGCCGTTGCTACAGAGTCGACGTTATTCGCCGATCGCGTCGAAGAATCGACGACGAAACGCGGTCATAGCTATACCGGAAGCGAAACCTAGGATGGGAACCATACACCATCAGTTTTACATCAATTACGCTAACGCACAAGGTGATATTAGGTTGACTTCGGTAAATAAATGCTAGATGGTAAAAGGAAAACAGCTGTAAGCTACTAACATCTAGTCATCGGTAGCGCGTATAGAAATCCACGTGGAAAAGTTTAATGTACAGAGCTGGAAAACTAGCATTTAGATTAAATATCCTAATGGTTATATCACCGTAGGACCCACCCTTCTCTAATACGATCATAGAAATAGGACTGTCGCACATTCATCATTTGTCGAAATGGTTACATCTACTAATAAATACGTGTAGAATGAACAAATTGGACGGTGACCCTCTTTCGTCTTTGCATCCTTGTGCATCTCGAGTCACTTCGTTACAACTTCGTGTCTTATAAGAGGATCTTGTCACCGTTAGCCTTTGATAAATAAAATAAAAATTTGGATCATCGATTCGAAACTACAACTCAACGTTCTTCGTGTTCTCAGGATCTGTCGGGAGTAATAGTTCCGGACAAGGTTGGTCCAACCAAGTGGAGGAACTGGCAGAACACCTTGCTACCGAATTCGATGGATCCCTATCGGCTCTGGCAGCAAACGATCTCGCAACAGCGGTTGCTTCCTACAACATGAGGTAAATGCAGTTTTCTTAGAAAAAATTCTACAATTTAAAGGACTCGAATCGGGTGAAACAAAATTAGAGTACTAGCTGACTCTGTCGAATCTGTAGACTACTCGTGGAATGCCTCTTCCAGTTTAACCGATAGTCGATCACGAAGAATTTCTTGGCTCGTGAATGGCTTCGGTCTGGAGTCGATAAAGTAGGTTTCCTTAGGGATTCCTGCAGAGAAGCAAATCGGATCTCGATTAAAACGTAACTGGTAGTGGGAAGAAACGTGTTGAACAAGGAATCCGGTTGAAACCAGACACAGTTGTCGGTGTTTCGTGGCTCGAACGACACACACTTGGAAATCACGTTGATCGCAAACGTTCATACACGCTTAGCGAGTATCGCGCGTACGGACACACGTGCCATTTCTGTTCCCAAACATCTTACATCCGGTGTAAAAATCTTCTTGAACATTTGTGTCGATGTCTTCAACTTCGCGACTTTGCAATGAAGTGCATGTTATACTTTTATAATCTCCAATTCGGTTTTATTAACTTACGTAAAAAGAATCTTCATAAAGAAGACGAATCTTTTTGATTATACTCAGACAATTGTTTATTATTTCGGCAGTCATTCTGATATGCATTTTACAACGAATCTATCGATCGTCTCGGTATATTCTTTATGATCGATTCGTATTTTATCGCTTCCACCAATGTCTTTAATGATAAATCATAGATTAAGCAATAACCGGTTGACCGTATATATTGCTCGACGAAAAAAGTAAAGATCAAGGTACTAAAACGATGACGAAACGGGTTAATTCCATTAAATTTTCGTACAAAAACAAATTGTCCGAAGAAAAGCGGGAAATTCGTTAGTGATCAGCTGATAGCGGTCTCGGCGACTCAGCGAAACGCGGTTATAGTTTTCCCAGGATTTATGAATGAAAAATTGTTTAAAACGAATCTTTTGTAATAGCAATTTGTGAGATAATAATTCGTGAAACTATTCGCGAGTGTGAACCCAGTTATTTTCGCCGATTTAAACCCGGTGCGGTGAATCACTTTCCACTTTCTCGTTCTTCCTATTTAAATGATCACTAAATCTTGGCGAGCACGTGTCATCGCGGAACCTCGTGAAATTTCAACGAAAATCGAAGACTGTCTATGAAGTTATCGTTAAATGTTTATGAAGAGCAAGAATCGAATCTAATATTTTGCAATCAGGATCATGCACCAGTATCTGAAAAGTGGGTGAGTGATTAGCAATGAGAAGATGATGCCTATAGTTTACATCAATAATCGTTAGAAATATCCGAAAGAAATAAACTACTATCGCATTTTCGGCGATGTCTTATCGCGGCACTTTGCCTGTAACTGATATTAATTTCGTTGCATTCGAGAACCGGTACGTTCCGGTTTTAGTTGACCTTACTGACTCAATTCTTATCATAGCGGTTCTCAAACTATTCTTGCGTTCTTTGTTTTGGCGTTACGTTGCCTCGTTACTTTCACGTGAGACGCTTACCGATTTGTTACACGTTATCTTCTAGCTAATAGGTAAAGCGAATGTATATAATTAACTATTGCTCTTAATAAACCAGCGTTGATTATTTCTCGGTATTACGTTATAGATCTCTGCATAATCAATACGTGTCGATAAAGAAAACCGGAATTTATCGGTTATCATCGGATCGAATGGATCCAAATCATTTATTAGTGACCTTTCATAAGAGCGAATATTAGAAGCAGTAAACACGATTGTTGTAATCACGATTGAGTATTGTTTACCTTTTGTCTCAAAAAATTAATAGAAAAAATATAAAGACTGTCTGTCTTCGCAGATGAAGAAAAATCTAAATTAAACTCCGATAGATATTAATGATGGAAAATTATAAATTCAATGTTGATATATTTACAGCGAAGCCTTGCTCGCTTTGCCATCGTTGACTGTCTTCAAGCAAGAAGCACCATCGCCGGAAAACCAGCAAAATTCTAAGTAAGCACTTTAAGTCTCCTTACGTAATAGTCTGTCTTTTAATCGTTTTGTTTCGGTATATTGTCGCTTACGAAAGCACGATCTAATATCGTTGTCAAGTTGTATGCACTTCGTTCATAGCGAAAGGGGTTAATAATGCACGTTATCGTGTATCGTATTAGTCACCGGAATTCTTTTTTCTACTGTCCCAGTAAATGCGTTAAGCCGTTCATAGTAGCGTCAACAAATAAAACAAACAAAAGCTTAGCGGAATTTGCCACAAGTCTCCCCCGCAGAGAGAAAGAGAGAATCGGTCTCGATAAGGCATCCTATCGACATGTTTCTTCGCGCAATTATCAGTAGAATGACACGCAGGTCAGACCTTTACTATTGCAAGGTTCTCTCGCAGTTATCGTTTGTCGTGTTACTCCGTCAACTCCAGTCGTTCGACGGATGACACCGTGCGAAAAACGCGATCCTCGAAACGTGACACGGATTACGCTTCGGTACGAAACTACGGAAATGATCGGTATTTATTGGTCTTCGTAACGGTGCTGCTCGAATAACAGCAAGAAAACGGACAAAAAAAGAAATAGAAATGGAAATAATATGAGCAAAGTGTTTCATGAATAATGAATAAATAGTGCCTATAAAAATTGTTAATTAAAACTAGTCAACGATATTAGTCGTGAATTGATGTGCGATTCGACTTTATATAGCGATGAGAACTACTTCGGATTTTTTCCTTCCTCCTTCGGTATTTCTTAATTTATAGTGAGTGAAACGAATCAGTCTCGTCAGTGATGATGAACCGTTGATAAAATGACATGTTCAATGTCTGCTTCAGTTTGAACCACGTGTCTCAGAGAACGATTAGTTCAACACCAGCAAACAACGGAAACAGCCCCGCTGAGGATGATAGCAACAACAATGGGCAAACAACGGCCAATTTTCATCAGTTGCTCTACTCCTCGAACGAAGAGTACCCTCCAACATCGTCTTCGGGGAATCACGTGTCCTCTTCTCAACACGGAAACGAGCTGAACGAGGATTGTCGGTATGTCCATCGATGAAGTCGATGCACTAAAATAGTTTACTGTATAATCATGTAATGATCGATAAGATTAACAAACGTTCGATATTTGCATACAGTTTTCAATACGTGCTTGCCGCCGCCACGAGCATCGCAACGAAAGTGAACGAGGAGACGCTCACCTATTTGAACCAAGGTCAATCGTACGAGATTAAACTGAAGAAATTGGGCGATCTATCTGCGTACCGCGGGAAAATTCTGAAGGTACTTTGTCATCTGCTACTTGTGCATCGAAACGCGTCAGCAGGTTTTCCTGTGTTTGGGTATCGACATCTTAAAAAACGTGCTGATTCTCTCGCAATGGAATCGAGCGAGCTCATGCTGGTCTTAGTACAACGATCATTCAAACGAAGTAGTTATTTACATAGCATAAGATATGTATAGCACAGATCATAATGGAGTAACCGGCCATTGACGTTTTATCGTTTTAACTCTTTGCACTTGTAAGTTTTTTTTACGATTGTCACAAAATGCTATTAACATCGGTTGCAAGTAGACTTACGTTGTATTCGATTTATTACGAGTACAAAGGGTTAACATGCTACACCACCAGATCTTTGCGAATCGCAAATTTCGGCGTGAGCTCATTAGGTGCCGGACGTTCGAAAGATGTGTCACCCAAACGGTGCTACAACGTCTCTGAAGGAACACGCGACCTTTCTGTTTCAGTCGACGATCCGCATATGCTTCCATGAAAGGAGACTTCAGTATACCGAACGGGAACAGATGCTCGCATGGCAACGCGCTAGACCAGGTGAAAGATTGCTCGAGGTCGACGTTCCTCTCAGTTATGGAATGGTGGACGTTTGTCAACCGTCCCCGTCCAATAACAGCGTGGAATTTATGTGGGATCCCACTAAGGAAGTCGGTGTTTATATAAAGGTACACGAAAACTAACTTAGGTTCGGTGGTCTGCCACTAGAGGGTTAACCCCTTGCCTTAACCTTCTTCAGTTGCATGCAAGATTATGTAAATAAAATCGTGTGTACGGCAAGGGGTTAAATGAAACAGCAGTTTGTCCCTCTTTCTTTAGGTGAACTGTATTAGCACCGAATTCACGCCAAAAAAGCATGGCGGAGAAAAAGGTGTACCGTTTCGAATCCAAGTGGAAACACGATTACCAGGTGGTCCTCGTCTGCACGCTGCTTCTTGCCAAGTGAAAGTATTTAAATTGAAGGGAGCTGATCGCAAACATAAGCAGGATCGAGACAAGATACTTCGACGACCGCCACACGAACAGGACAAGTATCAGCCTAGCTACGATTGCACGGTCCTTTCCGACGTAAGTGATCATTTAACACGATAGTACTTGCAGAAAAGTAACACGATGGTTCCTGATTTCGATTATAGATTCCTTTAGACTCCTTATCGCCGTCCAGTTTGATCAATCAAAACGGAGGCAGCCCTTACGCTTCCACGGAGGCAATGTAAGTACAATTTCAACTTTCAATGCTTTGTGTTTTATCTCGTACTTTTTGTTACCGTTTTAATATCAACGATCCCACAGTGTTTGTTGACCTCACAACTTTTTACATCTTAATCCTTCTATAATAATGCCTTGAATTGCACCATACAATAATTACCGAATCTTTAGAATATCGGAACAAAACACGTCAGGTGTTCCGATAAATTTTCCTTTACCATGTAAATATTAACTGGTCCATTCCGGATACGACGAGTTATACGACGCCGTTCCATTCAATCGAACGAATCGTCACTCATGTTTTTTATTATGGTACTCAAAAATGTAAAGAACAAATAACAATACGTGTTTCCAATAATACGATTGTCTCTCGATGCATGCGGTAACGACTTGAATCTTCCATCGCTTTGTTGTTCGGTAATTCAAAATATCCATAAATATCGAAGTTGAAAGATGCGTGTTTCTGTCGCGTCGTGAGCAAAGCTCGAAGAATAGCGCGTTCCTCGCGTTATCGCGCAGAATTAAGAAGTTTCGCTCTTCAAGGTCGGTCTACAGACGAACACGCACGAACGGAAAAAAGACGAGAGAATTCCGGTTCAATAGGACAAGTAGAAAGAAAATAGAAGAAAAAGAAAAGTAGTTCTCTCACGTAAGATACATCGCGACAACGGCAAAAAGCAAAGCACAGAAATGCAACGCTACGTTGCCGTATCTTGTTTCGAGACGACGGTGAATCAAAAGCGGTTGGTGGGGGATCACGGATGAATCGAAAGGTGGAGGAGGTGGAAACATTATACATATAGTTAGAATGTAGCGGTGGCGTGGTGGAAAGCGCGGCGATGGTAATGGCAATGGACGATACGAAGCTCGGGATAAAGTGGTGGAAGAGAGGAGGTGCCTGCTCGGGAGTCGAGAAACTGGCTCGAACTGGCACGAGCCGGCGTCTAGTAGAGCCGACAACGATGCTTCGAGCAAAAGAGAGAGACAGCCTCGACGTCAAATAAATTCAGAACGCAGCACGATACACGCGCAGCCGTTTGGTTGGTTCTCTCGTTTATATCCATCAGTCTTCTTTCCACGGAATCGTTCGTCTTTTCGCGATACAATACCGATTTGCGATTCCTTTTCGTTTCGACTCCCACTTCGTCGACGCAACGGTGATACCTCACGATCTTCGTCGGTGTACAGTGAACGAGAAACGGTACTCAGTGAGAGTCGCAGACATGATCTACCGTTGAGCTCGCATGTTTTTAAATAAAGCAGTGATCGGTGACCGTCTTTTCGCGCGACTCGTTGCGACCGGACTCGTAATCGTTGGTTCCCTTTTACTGCGAAGCTGTCGCTGATCGCGATTATAGTCAACGGTTCATCCGCACGACCCGAAGTGATTTCGTTGTTGTCGATTTAGAAAAAGACGCGTTACGTTGGTCACGTTCAACGATCGAGAGAATTAAATTTCATATGCACACTGATAGTGTTGTACCTTGGCGGTCGTAAACGAAACGTTGTGCATCATGCACGGGAATGAGTGCTACCATTTCTGCCGCGTGAAATAATCTGTGAACCGGAAAGGCCTTTTAGTTACGGTCACTTTCCGGCGCACGGGTCTACGTCCTTCGACGAATCGAGCAGCACCACGAAATTACAGCATCGGCCGTGAACATAAAAATAAATTTGTAGCTGATTCCGGAACATTGCCGCAGATAGTGTCGATCGAGATACGGAGGAGTTATCGATCGCAGCTAGCATATTGCGCATGCGTGTCTACATACACAGACGCACACAATCGCACGAGTAGAACGAGCCAATAAAAGAGGCGCGCTTTAAACGAAACGCGCTTGTGTGATGTCCACGGAATCACGAGCACAATAATTATCACGCTACAGTGTTTCGCCAATTGGTCCACCTTCCTGGTTAAATCGTAACCGCAACGACGAGTAAAGAACACTCGAGAAATCGGCGTTCACTTACCGACCGAGCATCGAATCGAGAACGAAGCCGTTTCACACCGTTGGAATGCCCCGGTCCGGTGTAAAATTACGATCTCCATTCGATCGTCCGCAATCATTTTGCGTGTCGAGTAGCCTTGATCTGGAATCGTTACGCGTCGACTATCAGAACGTACTTGTGCATGAAATCCTGGTCAGCCAGATGCTCCTGTCACGGCAGGATCACTTCCTCAGATGACGAGCAGCCTGGCCGCCAAAAAGCTGATGCCAGGGCGGTTCGATTCAGCCTTGAACTGAACGTTTTCACCAAGAACTTTCGGATATTTCTACCATCCGCGTGATCTCGCTTCTCGAGCCACGAATACGGAGGATATCGGCTGCCAGCGATCGTTGGATCGATATTTGTCAATCTTTCGAAAAAAGTAGCTCGAGTTATTCACTGCCCGTTGTCCGATGAAGGAACGATTAAAGAGTTACATAAAAGATGAGCGACGAACACAGACGATTACCGATATGATACACATAAAATAATGAGACGCGTGTACTTGAAACTACACTATACACTTAGGATGCGATAGCGTAAAACAGAAGACATCAAATTCGAAGAGATTAAGAGATAAGAATATTTTCAAAGAAAAGACGGATCACCTTGTCGTTGACGGATCGAGACTATTTTTTTAAATTTAGCGCGACGGTTGTGCACGAACCGGCGAAACTAGAGATATCCGGATCTCGGCAGACTAGCGTTGCAATAGCGATCTGACTTATACCGATCGTATCCGACTCGCGAAGCTTCTGCTTCACAAATCGAGACTTTCGAAAGTTAATCAGTCGATCACGAATGAGACATAAAACTGATTCCATTTGAAATATTTGACGCTTAAAAGGCGATACAAGAAGTGGGCTCAATTTGAAAATTCTTTGTCTCGATCACAATCGGGGTGACTGAAAGAAAAAATTAGTAAAAATGTAGTCACTGGTGGTTATAGCTTGTTCGATGCTAAACCAGTCGTAGTTTATCGAAATTTACATGGATGACGTTTTGAACGTTTCGAGTCGAGGAAATTTTTGGAGAAATAGAGTAGAACAGAAGGAAAAAGAGAAAAAGATCGAACTCGAGAAGTTTGAGATCGCAGATGGAATTTAAAAGACGCGTACTCGAGATGCCAAAAAGTTGTCCCATTTGGAAGTTAAAGAGCTGCTGGACTATCAGATCTCCCGCGAAATTTCGTGGAAATGGCTCCTCCTCGGCTTACCTTCTGGAACACGAAGTAACAGTCAGCGGTGGACCACTGCAAGTGGAACTGGTGGCTAAGTTTGTTCATTCTATTTTGGAATTCAGAACGCGAAGAAGCAATCATCTCATGCGGGGTGGATTAGTCAGTCTCACAATAAGAAAAGGCAGAAATAACAAAAGGATCGACAGAAAAGGAATCTCCAGGCTGATTTTTCACTTGAAGAGACATTCCATGTAAGAAATAGATGAACGATGTAATTTTTGTGAAGGAAATTGTTCTGGTTCGCGTGTTTCTAGGTTTTAAGCTCGCGTGCTTACGTAACTCTGCAATAAATTAAACGATTTTTAAGGTCAAGGATCAAGTAACGCATTATTTATTCTTTGCCACGTTTCGAACAGAATTGTTCGTTCCGAATGATGATTCTCGTTCACCGACTGCCTCTGATGACTTAATATTCGTGCATCGCTATAGATTGCGGTGTCAATTATTATCGTGTTTGCTTTCATTGCTTCTAATGTTGTTAATTCACGTTGCGCTTAGACATCAATCCTTTGTACCCTTCGTTTCATGATATATCCGGTCGATGTATTCGTACACAAAAAGGCTTGATCATCCTTTAACGGTGTCAAAAAATAAACGAGGGACATCGATTATACTGAAGTAAGAAAATGCTGTTGTAGATCACCCCAAACTCGCTCCACTATTAGCGGCAATACCTCGCCGGTAGCAGCACCGTTGGCACTTTCAATTTCCAATTCCGGTATCGTCCCAGTGGTTCCTGCCTCCGATGCCGTCAAGGAAAATATAGGAAACATAGCCCCAGCTCTACCATCGCCTGCAGCTATTTTACCGGACCAGTCCTGCATCGACACCGAAGTTAGTTTATCAACGTTATTAATCCACCTCTGCACGATTACTGTCCTGATACATCATTATTTCTATTTCTATGTCATTATCAAGGTCCCGAATAAACTGGCATCCTACACTCTTTTTCCTTCGCTCAAAGCTTAGCTGCGAATAGTACTTCGCGGTTGATCCAAAAATAATATTTGTCTTATTGTACAGGGATCATCTTGTTTGACTCAGTTGTCACCGGACGCAAGTGCGGCACAAACGACCACGTGGCTTCGTGCAGGTCGTTTCGGTGCTTTCGAATCAACATTTGCGAGCTTCTCCGCTTCGGACATCTTACGACTCTCCCGAGACGACCTGATCCAAATTTGCGGCCTAGCCGACGGAATACGATTGTTCAACGCGTTGCACTCGAAGCCGCCAACTCCAAAACTCACGTTGTATTTCTCGTTGGAAGACAGTGGTTCGCTTTGGAGAGTCGCCTACCTAGAAAGTTTCACCAGCAGCGCCTTGATGAACAAATTACTGAACGCTTTGAGCTTACCTCACGATCGACTGCATTCTGTACTTTTCCTTGGTCCCCAAGGTATCCACGTGTTGGTGACCGACGAACTGGTAGCGAACATGAAGGACGAGAGCATGTACTTCGTCGAAACTATCAAAGGTAAGAGAAAATATTTTGATAATCTGTGAAAGTAATTGTATCGTTCTAACATTGTAGACAACGATTTTCACTTTGTTCCAGATAACGCGACTGAACGCTACAAGCTGCTCCTAAAGCCTTCGTCGCGTTCCTAAAAAGGTACATCCGCTAATAAGTTAATTAAAAAATTGAGTAATTACTTCCATAATTGCAAAATTGCCAAATATATCTGTGATTCGATAGGACGTTACGCTTTCAGCGTTAGAGCATATTTTTTCAGAGCGGAGGTATGAGATTATAAATAGGATTTACTAACAATTTTAAAGAAATAGCAACAACTCGAATGAATTGTGTGAATATTTATTGCAATGTGATGGAAATTATGTAATGTTAGCTGTTATAAATATTAAATAAATAAACAAGTACGCTTTTACGATTGAGATAACAAATGATTAGGTATTGGTACATTATGTACGATGTCTTGATAAGTTGCATTTTGTACAATTTTATACTTACTACGATCGGAATGCGACAGTATTATCTAAAATTTGTCTTATAGAAGACTTAGGTAGAGCGTATCGTTCCTTCGAGGAGCAAACTTTGTCGAGGCAAAGATAAAAGTAATAAGAATAGAGTACCAAAGGATTCTGTTCTTTGATTAGTGAAATATACATCCTTCAGGAAGGACGTTAGGTGCCTTCTCCTTTTTTTGTTAATAGCAAAATATTAGGAGTTATTTTTTAAGTGCTTGACAATTAGAAATAATTATTTTGCCAAGAAAAGAAGCATATTTTATTCCATAGTACAAACCGAAAGAAAGGTCAATGTTTCTTTACACGTCTTCGAAGATCGTGAAAAATAGTATTATGATTTATTACCAAAAGCTGAAGAATTTTTAGGTAGAAGGTTTTTTTTTTAAAGAACCTGTTAATCTCAAACGTTGGTAACAATTCCGTATGATACAGCTACCAATATTGTTCTGTATTTTACGTGGAATGAAGCGTATCTTTACGTCTAAATTGATGTAACATCACAATGCTCAATGCGATACGAAACGCGTTCCGACTTTGTTTTCTTTAACTCTGTATAACAATTAGTTAATGGTATACGTGAGGGAACTGTTTATTCTTACGTATTTTAATCTAGATGTAATATAAAAATTAAGTAAAACTCGGTCAAACTGCATGCTCTTCTGTTATACTCCGATAGAGGAATTCCACGAGTGTCATGTATCGTCAGGAAACGGCACAACAAATATTCTCTGATGCCAAAATGTATAATCATTATGTTTACAAGGAACACGAAAAAATAAATAAAATCTAGCCTTTTACTCTTAGTAAATATATTGTTTCATTTAACAAAAAATAGAATACGTCATAATAATCTGTAAAGATGTTATTAAACGCAATAACACGGTCACGAATTTACGATAGTCCTCCTCGTTACTTTTTCTTCTTCATCTGTTTGTTTTTCTTCTTTTCCTCCCGCTTCATTTGCCTCTCGGATAGACACTTAAATAATTTGTAGACGAAGAACACTGTAATCACACAAAAACATGATTTAAACACTTTGCAGTTAAAAATGATTATAAGCGATAAGAAAAATGATATTTCCTATCCGAGACCGAAAATGAACGTACCAAGAACAAGCACAACTAATAGCAGAGCGAAAAAGAAAACAGTATACGGGTTGAAATACAAAAATCTCTGATATATGCTGGTATTATTATATATTCTATCTTCCAACGTTTGCTTGAACTTGCCAACCACATTGTCCAATAACTCATGTTTTTCTTGTTCGTTCAACTGTTGATATCGTTGAAAAAATGTCGATAGCTTTTCTTTGCTATCCTCCGGTAACAAGTGCAACAGTTTCTCTTGCATGTCGTTGGACAATAAACCTTTATCCCTTAAGGAATTTAAAACGTTCTCTGCCATGGTTCGGAGTTCGATAGGAAAAGAATCACAGAACTTTCTCTTGTTTTCGACAAAAACAACGTTAGAAGATTAATTCCGTTAACAGAGTGAAATTAAAATTGATCCAACGATCGTTCGCGGCCGATGTTAAGTGGTCGATTAGATAACAGGTGGCAGAATAAACTGGTCCGTGATTGTGCACGACATATTCGCAACAATTCGCAATTTCGTTTGTTAAGCAACGTTGATGATAAAATAAAAAGCACTTGAATCAGCGGGAATCGCTTCGAAAACGGAACAAGGACAGAAGGGAGTAGCGGGACACAGTCGACTCGCAAGATATATCGAGCGATCACGGTTAATCGTAATCTCTTTGGTGATAGACCATACAAGATATTTACCAAAGATTAAAGCGACTAAAGCCAGCAAAGAAAGGAGAATCATGGTCTGCACAGTTAAATTGTTTCCTCCTGCGGGTAAATCAGTCCCTTGTTGTTGTATATTTTTCAGCAAGTCCTCTCTGAGCGTGGCTTTTTCTTCCTCCGATAAACCAGTCATCGAATCGAGCATGTCAAGAAGTTGCTGCGGCGTAGGAAGTTTCCCGTCGAATTGAGGAATCCCTTGACCTTCATCGGAAGCTTCTTGCTGTGTAGCTGCATCGTCCGCGCTCACAGATGCTACACCCTGAAGACCACTCGCGAGCATCATCCACATCCTAGTTGAAAATATCGTCAGAGTTACACAGGGTACAGTTTGAAAAAGGAAGTGCTAAATTTTATGGGCAGGATTCTGACCCCATCCTTTAAGGATGATTGATGTTTAAATATTATAAGTTTCGATATGCGAAAACCCACTAATATTTAGCACAATCTTTTTGAAACACCCTGTAGAGGTGGTTTTTGAACCGTGCTTGCTCCACCACGTTATACACTTTTTTGCTCGATGATTAGATAGCGATATGGTTTCAAGCGAAAACTATGACGGATAACAAGAAACTGCAGTTCACCATATGTTTCTTCGTAAGAACATAGTTTAAGAGAATAACACTTTCGAATAAAGAAATGAACGTTTCCAGCTGCACGTAACTAAACATTAGCGATTTACTCACATTGCTAAGACTAGACGTTGTTTGTACATTTTGAATGATTCAAATTTTTGTTTCAAATAAAGACTAGTAACCCTGAAGCACCTTTAACAATAACCGACAAATATCAGTGTCAATTTATAATCTTAAAAATGATCGAAATCCTCTAGAGCGTGTACAGTCTGAAAACGGGATGATCGTTCACTGAAAAAAGCACTCGTCTTTGGCGGGAAGATAAGCGGCGAAAAGACACATGGATGATGATTGGTTGATTCGAATCGGCACCTTCAGTTTGTTGGACATGCGTGCGTCTCAAGCCAACGTGGCTACTTCCAACGTGTTAACTAACATGCCACGAATTCCAAGTTAACCTCGGCGGATACATCTGACTCTTCCAACGTGTAGATCTAAACGCGTTAAGGAGGCGTATTACGACTTTCACACAACGGTGCGTGTTATGGTACATCGCAGCTGAGCTACATACAAGAATAATTATCCAACTGCGTATTGTTATCTTTGAACGTTCATATACATGTATACCGTTGGTATACATTGACCGTTGTCAAGCTATCTTCGCTTCAAATTGATAACATTCAATCGCAATGGATGCTATTTAAGTAGACGGTATAAGACAATTATTACGCGTTAAGATCATCCTAATACCACAAAACTTTTAAATACTTTTCGCACCATAACTCGTCAATCTACAGTCTAAATCACATGCAATAATATCGAGTATTTGACTTGTGACATAAGGTTCAAACCTGTTGCCATTGCACTTATAGCCAAGCAATGCCGGTTGGCAACTTCAACACAAGAATGGAAAAGAATTTTAAATACCGACCTAACAAATTGAATAATCAAAGAATAGAAGAAAAAGCGTTAATACTGTCGGGCTCGGACAGGAAACCATATGTTTTAGAAAAACAGTTATTTGTGTATAGGACAGTATGGGATACCGCGCTTTTTAGAAATGTATCTTACCGGCGAGGCCGACCACAACAACCCCAGGTATTACGAAGATGATATTGCTGAAGCCAGGTTCAATAGGACCGTCAAAACCACCATTAAGATCCGCCATCTCGAGATATAAGAAATTTTTCACAAAATTCGCGAACTGTAAGGTCCAGTAGTTATCTACTGAAACAGGTGCCGGGATAACGCCATCTAGGAAATATTTTATATGGTGTTAAGGTTATGGAGTTCATAGTTTAACGGTACTTTGGTTCCCAGTTCCGTTGGTTGAGATGAATTTAATAGACCCGATTTGATGCTACGTTACTCGAGTCCTACCCTATTGAACATACTTTATATTGCAAATGATTTTAACGAACTTAAAACTTATATTGATTTTAAATACAGCGTCGGCGCACGACTATTTACATATTTAGTGCATTTATAATATTATTTCTTAAACAATTGAAAAGTTCATTAGCTACGTTATAGAAAATTTATCTGATGATAATTGCTGATAAAGTTGTCGTACGCTTTTCAAGTCAACGGTACGATATTAGTAGACATCAGAACATGATCCATGATATATTATGTGGACCATAATCTACTTATGAGATACATGTTTATCTTACAGAGACTGCAAGTTTTTTGAATTTCGCGGATCGGAAGTATGCTCGATTATAAACACAATTTATGAAGATTTTCCTTTTCTATAAAAAATATTACAATGATAAATAATTATTATTTAAATAATATTTAATCCGTAAATATTTCGATTCATAAATATGAATAAAAATGGGATGGCAGATAGTTCAACTTTAACGTAGTCATGGAGTATATTATTGTCCCAACAGAAAAAGGCGCCAAATCTATTTGCAAAGTGGACTCCATAACAGTCATTTCTATCGTAGTGTTAATATCGGCGAGAAAGAAGAATTGTCTAAGCTCATCATGACTCTGATAAACAAAGCGACAGTATTGAAATTCGCAAAATTGACAGACAAAGCTCATACACCTACAAAAGGATCAAAATATGCTGCTGGATATGATTTAAGAAGGTACACAATTACGTTCAACTTTTTTCCTACGTAAATATATTTTACGCGATGACTCGGCTTTTCATTTGTTTTATGCTATCCGAGTAATAATCCGCACTGATATTATTAGAATTATTATTTGTATGTTTGTTCTACAGTGCGTATGAATATATCGTGCCGGCACGTGGTAAAGAACTAGTTAAAACTGATTTGCAAGTTGAAGTTCCTGAAGGCACGTACGGAAGAATTGCACCTCGTTCAGGATTAGCTTGGAAGAATCACATTGACGTAGGTGCCGGTGTTATCGATGCTGATTATCGGTAAGTTTTTAAAACTTGATTAAATCGCGAGATATAATGATAATCAGATACTGTGTACGTGTTGTATGTATGTGTGCAACTCTCCAAAAATAAGTGTGTTTCGTGAAAGGTGGGATGTATGTATGGATAGTCATAAAATATATTTACTTCAAGGACATTAAAATCACTTTTTTTTTTAATACAGTGGAAATGTGGGGGTTGTATTATTTAATCATAGTAATGAAGACTTTAAAGTCTTACCAGGAGATCGTATAGCACAATTTATTTGCGAACAAATCACGTATCCTGAACTTCAGGAAGTTAATAGTTTAGACGATACAACTAGAGGAGAAGGAGGATTTGGTTCCACAGGAACAAAATGAAAGAAAATACAAAAAGCATTTACTTTGTTGCGTATATATCTTTTATTTTATCTAATTGTGTTGCTACTATATTTTTGTATCTTTACCTATAAAGTATTGTTTTTCTAATAAATGATAGCAAAATGATAATGACCTTACAATTATTTAAGTCATTGTATACCTTCTATAAAAATATACTTACTCCATCAATTAGAAAAATAATTCATTTGTAAATGGCACAGTAACATTGCATTTTATCACAATTTATATTTTAGAAAGAGGTACAAGACCTGTATATTGTGATGGTGTTCTCACCAAGCTTTGTATATTCTTGAACTGTTTATGTTTTGCATCTGCCAATAGTTTAAAAATAACATTTTCTGAGGTAACTATGTGACATCCCATTCCCTTCATCCTCTATTAAAATAATTTAAATGTATTATGATATTCATTTTTCTATACTTATGTTTGATATTCTGTTACAATTACCTCTAATGCCAATAGTCTATCTTCTTGGGTACGCGAAGAACAACAATCTGCAACAGTGTGCACTTCAAATCCATTTTGTCTTAAATCAATTGCTGTGTTCTCCACGCATACATGACTTTCAATACCAATAAGGATAACCGAATCTGGTTTCTGACCAGAGCAAATTGTAGATAGCTCTTTGTTTATCTAAAACAAGTAAAAGAGTTATTAAAAAAGACATTAAATATAACTAAAACTACATAATACTCATACTTCAGGTGTACACATGCTAAATTGAGTCTTTTCAAATGGTCCTTTGGCACCAGAGATATCAAGAGCAGAAACCGTTTTTCCTAAACCTTTTGGGTGTTGTTCAGAAACAATCATAGGAACATCCAGAAGTTTCAGTGCGTTTATCTACACATACAAATATATAGATTAATTATACATATGTAATGTGTCGATTACATAACCTCACATTTTTGTAAGTGTAACATCGCGACGTAAAATATTTAATGCTATTAAATCGTATAAATTTTACATACATTGATAGCATGCATCATCCATATTTACCAGTTTCGCTGAATTTTGCGTGATTTTATCAAATTCGAATATCGCCTTAGCGAGTCTTTCTTGCATGTCACATATTAGCAGAACACTTTTGCCTTGCTTTAAAATTGCCCTGGCTGCGTTGCTTGCCATTATTTGTCACGTAATACGTAGAAATGAACGTAGGAAAACGAAACAAAATTGTACCGAATCGGTACAGTGGAGGACCAGTTATGAAGAGACGAATTTTTATCTCCGCGATTTCGCGTTTGTGACGCACGCGATATTATTCTACAATACTCAAAGTTCACGGTCAATCTTAGCCTTACTAACTTTAGACGCGTTGCATTTGATCGATTTCAAACGAACCCTCTCGGTGCGCAGCGACACAATTAAGTGTAAAAGGACACTTTAATAAACATTGAGCAACACAATGGAATACTTCGGTCATATAGCGCTCTGTTTCGCAATACCATTAAGTTCGAAACGATAAGTCATAATAGACAATGCGTTCTGGTTCAACGTTTTCTATCGATTAAAATCTTTCAATAGTTAAAACGTTTTATGACAGCTCTAGAAATTACTGTCATCCGCTACAATTAATACGCTCTTTATGCGTAATGAAATTGTGATATTGAAAAGGTTACAACCAACGACAGAAAAAATAAGAAACAACGATAAAAAAGATATATTCAAAGTGGTTGCTTGAAACGAGCATGCATCGACACTATCAATTTGTGCAATATCTTTTCTAACGTATCGTGATGCGTAAAGTTTAGTGATTTAAATCGACTGGTTCGGCGCGTGCGTATTGATGCAGCGACCCAGGTGCGAGTTGGACAGAGGAAGGCCAGATAGAATAGCAGCGACAAGCGGTAGTCAAACAATGCTGTTCCGAGTAGTCGGATGCATAGGGTCGTTTTGAGTTTATCTAGCTGATCAGACTGATCTTCGAGCTGTCGGTATGATGTACGCGTACGGTTCGGAAGAGGAATTGTGCACGTTCTAACAATTCAGGCCCGTGTTGCATCCGATTCGCAGATTCTGTAGTGTGAGCGAGTTTGTAAATAAAGAATGGCCGGAGAACCTCGTGAGACCGGGCACACAAAGCCGCTGGTGCAGCTTTTTCCAAAAGCGTCAGAATGCGTATATACGAGTTGTTATTGGTAAGTTATTCGGCGCAATTTCCTCGAAGCCGTTCAAACGAGGGAAACAATCGATTTTTAACGAATAAACGTGTCGTATTGCGGTATACACCGCTACGGATCGATACGTTGCAGTGGTACAGAGACGGCAGTGCGATATGCTGCCGCCATCTTTGATACGAACGAAATAACCACGAATCACGGTGCACCGTCTGCTCGACTTTAAAAAATCCCGCGCATACCGTAGTCTGTTTATTGGTAGAATCGTGACTTTGCTTTTGTTATCGTTAGGTCAGCGGGAATATACGAGTCCACGCTCGTTTTTTTAATTAATAATGCATGCGTTACCGATACTTCGCACAACATCGCTGCCGGCGATATTCATTTTCCGTGCTTTGATTATTTCTTTCTTTTTCCTAATAATCAACACGTAGTACACCAACAGGTCCTGTGCACCTTTTATGATCATATCTGTCTATTCGCGTTATTACCACATCGTATCTTCGACGAATTAAACGCGCGTTTCAACGTTAAAGTTCTGCAAGAACAAACTATGTCATTTTAGCGAGGAAAATGTATGGAAGCTCTGTCAGGATGTAGCCACGAGACACGGATCAGAATTGCAACATTGTTACGTTGCTTTCGTGAGCAACGCTTGGCGAAGTGTACCGCTTTGGCGACAACGGGCAGGAAAGGACGAGGATAAGCTCGTAGTTTGGGTCAGTCAACAAATAACAAACAAAAGTGCCATTTCACGCTATAGTGCTTGCGATTGTCTCGCTTTTCATTGAGATACCTTTTGGAATGGATACCAACGTATCTGTTTGTATCCATAGGACTTCCACGTAATCCTTATCTACGCACCCGATGAAAGAGCGGTCGTATACGATTTAGATAGCGTGTTGCCGTTTCCCACGCATTTCTGGAAATACGCGATGGAAACGTTTAGATCGGACGAAGTGGTACCTCCCGAACATCACAGAAGATTCAGATTGGTACCAGCCAGTGTGTACTTGAAAGAATTCGCGTCGGATCGGCATCACATGAAACGCGAGGATGGCACATGGATCAAGACACCACCGGATTATCCACCAATTTCAACACCAAGTATGTTCATCGAAACTAGATTACAGGATACGAAGTTTTTGAAATTCATTCTGTAACTTTATAAATCCTGAACCTTTCGTTTCGTTTTAATTTCGAAACGATTTCTCTGTTGACCGCAAGTACACTGCTCTGTTTTTTGTTTTGCAAACGTTCCAGCGTGCAAGGATAACTTGGATACCTTTATTAACATGGATCCAGGGACCGGTTTCGGGATTCTATTGACTTTAGAGCAATTATTCGACCGATTTCATAGGCCGAACGCGAACGCATCTGCTCCTCGTACACCTCAGCCTCAAGCAACGCCGACTTAAGTAAACTGCTAAGTAAGTTCTGCAGGATAACGATCGTTTCCTTCGATTTCCATTGTCAACATCCCGTCGTATGGCCTAAGGGAATTGGTTAGGTGCATATACCTTTGCCAGTCGATACATATATCGGGTTAAAAACAAAACATTTTTCACGATAACGTTTGCCTGATCGTTGTTGCTAATCGTTCGAAGTCGCAGTCGTGCGTTTCTACAGGCAAAGGTAGATTAATTTCGAACCGATCGATTGTTTTTACCAGACATTCCTGACTTTACACGATGTTTGTCCTTTGACTTTCTATCTATTCGGATTATAAGTTGATTGAAACATTATCGTGTTCGCTTATGTCGGTATAAAACGCAACTTCTTACTCGAATAATTGATTTGGCTTGAATCGCGTTCGCGCCGCCTGCTTTTCTTCTCGATAACTGTATACGCCGATTACATATGCCGATACGTTTGTTTCTTTCCATTTTAAAAACCTTTTTTGCAGAGCCTTACGGAGACAAGACTAGTTTCTGTTGTATGTTACACGTGTTACGCTCGACCATATGTATATTCCAAGTTATCATTCGTGGTTTTATATATACAAATGTGTATATATATGTGTGTGTATGCATACATATATATATAAGTGTTCTCTTGTCTTCGTACCATACGTTTACCATTACGCGTGAACCTTTGTCACGGCTTTGCTCTCTCAGTGGTATTTATCGTTATGGTTAATTGTGTCAAAGACTGATGTATTTACGGACAATTTCCAAAATCGACGAGAAAGAAATAATCTTTTTCCCGAACGATATCGTATCTACTTAGCTCGCGTCCTTGGCACAGACGCGACTAATGCGCTTATTATTAATACTATTATTATTTTTATTATTATTATTATCGTGCAATTTGATATATACATAATAGTAAGGGCAAGAACTTAATCTTTGCGATATAACCGTAATATATTACGATTATTGTAATTCTTGTGATACTTTACACTTTCTACTTTGAATACCTACGCTATACTTGTCTACTGTTTGTACTAAAAAGAAAAGAGAAAACAAGATGAAACAACTGATTCTTAAGATGATCGCGTGTTCGCTCGTTGATTCGATTTTTCTCTTCCTCGAGCTGGATCTTAATTAGAATCGAAGAAAATCGAGATTCGATCTGGAGTGGCGTGCTCCACATGACCAAATGTCAACATCGAATGAATTTTGACAACGAACGTTCGAAATCTCTGAAGCTAGTATTCGTGATGCCTGTATGGTGGACTGTTTGAAGTTGCATGATATATTTAACCCTTTCGTTGCGAGACATTTCGGTTGAAAGTAAAATGAGTTAAATGAGAAGAGGGTTAAATAATTATCCGGCATCCGATATCAAATAGCATCGGGCTAAAGATAGATTTATTAGCGAACTCGCGCTATCTCGTTTAGAAAAGATAATCAACGAGCGAATACAATCGGACTATCGATTCTTCTGACAAACCAAAATGGAATCGTTAAGAGAAAGAGGAATCGACAGTCTAGGTCGATAGTTTAAGAATTCGTCCACTCTTTGCCTTCCAGAATCTTTCACTAGATCTCTTTGTCTTTATCATCAACATGTGTTTTTTCTCCGATTCACCTATATCATATATTTACTATATTTGCATACGTACTTGTAAGCAACCGTGTTTACGACTTGGAGACAGCTGATCGAGCGTGATCAGTGACGCGGGAACCAGTCACGTCGCTTTTGCACGAACATTGTACGTGGAAAAACCCGGGACCGATTTTTTTAGCGTGTAATACCTTCGATTACCAGAGTATAGAAAAAAAGAAAAGTTGAAAAAAAAGATCTAATCTCTCTATCGTTCAAACTATTACTAGATATATATCAGAAGAAATTATTATATTATCACGAGAACGATGATGGTTATTATATATACATATATTTACCAATATTCTCATATTTATTATATTGATATATATATATATTTAATTATACTGTATCAATTTCGATACGTCGATGGGAGGAGGTTTGGTCAGAAACGTCCACGTTCGGACGACACGTCCTCTTATCGGTTTCATTCTGCGATATTACATGTTGTACGATTTGAAACGTTCACACGAATCTTTTATCACGATATTCGCATGTTGACGAAGAGAATTGATGAAAAACGAAGAACGACGATACCTCTGTTCGATGATGAACTTCGTTTTTCGAGTCTATGATAAGTTACAAACGAGTGGAATGCACCATTCGTCTCAGCTTGAAATTTTATCAATGTACTTTTTCAAATCTTTATAAACGGTGACCATTTATGCTCCATGGTCCTGTCTCCTCTTCCTTGGTCGGGTGCCATGTCTCTATATTTGATACAGTGAGCGAAGAAAACGAAGAACGAATGCTTCCAAATGGTAATCGAAGTTCAATTATCGGTGATACCGATTTCACCGGCTGTTTCTTCTTTTAAATACTTTTTATCGGCGATAATTTTACTCGTTGACGAACCGTTTTTATTCCCCCCCGATACACTACCTCCTTTCTTATTTTCAGCACAATCGATTTTTTCTAATCTCTGTTCGACGTGTTTCGCTTAACGAAGCTAACTGTTTGTTGATAACGATACAAGGGTTTTAACGTTTTTGCTCATTATGCGCACAGTATTTTCCAGCGTACTTTCGATGATCCGATTAGAACACTGTTGAGATATTGTACCTTTAGGCATCGGAGAATTTTCAAGGAGAAAGCGACGACGCGCATGGATTTTCAAATGTATATTGTATTCAATTTGCAAAAATATATAATGTATAATTACAGAAAAGTTACATAAGTGAATGATGGTATTCGACACCCTAGAATGTCACTCTCTTGCGCATTATCGAGTATTATTCTTATCATTAAAATTTTATATTGCTCTTTTGATCCTTGCGTTCGCTCTGTTTCCAAAGGGAACTACGAATGCTACGTTATTACATTTTTCTTTCATTTTTTTTTCAATGTAACGTAACTTACGTTACATGGTATATCGCTTATCGGTTCAGCGATAAGTATCGTAGAAACGACGATGGTAAGATAACACACGATTTAACAAAGTAGTAACGTTAAGTTGCGGCCACCTTTAGTGGATGCTTATCTCTAATCTGTGAGATATAAATAATTATCGACGATTAAAGGTAAAGTAATAAAAAAGAGCGATTGCTTCAGTACTAGTCGTTCGATATGCACCTTTCGTTTCACTAGGTTCGTATAAACCAGCCTTGGTATTTTTGCAAGATGTTATATCGAGGGTAACGTTAGGATAATAAATATTCATATAGTAACAAGTAAGTAACTAGGAATTATTAGTAATGCTGATACCTTACGTCGACTTGAATAACTATGAACAGAGAAAATAATATTTTCGTAAAGACTGCAGTATGAACGTACAACGTACACAGGTGCATTAATTTCGTTGTTTTTCAATTTGTTTTTTTTTTATTCGATATGTTAATACTATAAATATCTAGATTTATTTAAACAATTGACAGCACTCACAGCTTCGAATAAAGTAAAATGAACTCATTCTCTCTTCAGTTTTTCTCGCTATCGTTCTTTTTGCTAACAATTCTGTCATTCTAAACGGTACAGTTAGTTTTTTTTACACGTTTCACGTTCGATAATACGGCCTGTAAGTAGACATCGGAATATTGTTTTTCGATAAATGGTGCACGTCACCTTGGTCGTACTCCACGTCATTGTAAATCCCGCTTTGATTCTGAAATAGAAGCGCCATTGAGCACGAAACAGTGCAGGAACGAATGGTAAGGTTGAAAATCGAAAATGAAATATCGAGAAATCGATTCTTACCGCCAAAGATGATCTAGATCGCGGCCTGGGAACGTGAAAAGCACTGTGCTGCGGAATCAGATCGGCTCTGTCCTTATCCTGTGGCTCGGAGTCCGAGCTGTCGGGATCAGGTTGGTGTCTTTGTCGTGGTCTTGGTGGTGCTTGAAGTCTTGGCAAAGGCACCGGTGGTAACGTTCCATGAACGTTGAGTGGTGGGTACCCAAACACGGCGGAACTCGGCCGCGTTGGTCCCATGGGTTCCGTCTGAATATACAAGATAACGCTGAAGGTTTTGACAACTCGTCGATGAAATAAAACACTACGTACAATTCTTCAGTTTCAAGTGCAAATAAAAGAAAGTCTAAGCTAAGCCAACATTAGCTTTTCAACAGCAAGGTCATAAATTTAACCCCCTTCCTTCGACCTATCAACCCTATAACTTACAGCATATACGTTAGCAGTCGCCATATGGTCACCAAAATGTGCCCACATGTAGGGTGGCAAGTTAGTCGGTGGTCCTTGTTTTACGGAAGCGAGAGTTCCCACAGAACCTACCCTCGCCAAAGTTCCTGGAAGCGTTCCAGGGATACCTCCCTGAATGTAACCGTACACCGGAGAGCCGACCGATTTCTGTTCACGAGACCACCGACGGCTATAGCACATGTAAAAAGTAACGTTCGATTATTTTGCTTCGTAAAAATAATTCTTGCCAAGATGTATGTTTACTGTTACCTCCACATGACCAGACAGACTAATGTCAAGACTATAATGATTAAAGCTGCTACGGAGGCTCCTATCGCTACTCCCAGAACCTCCCCATCTACTTCGCATTGAGCACCATAGTAATTACCAGTGCACCTTCGAAATAAATGATCAATATAAGTACAGAGTACTCTTTTCTGCTAGCGAAAAATTTGATTCGCTTACGTGCACTGCATATGATCGCCCTGGTAAGAACAAGAGCCTCGATTGTTGCAATAAGTCGAAGGACACGAGATACAAGTCCTACCAGATTCGTTAGGATCATCCTTGTGAGGATCCTTTAATCCTGGATTGCAAGTACAAGTAAATCCTCCCCAATTGTTGGTGCAAATTGCCGAGGAATGGCAGTCGTTCAATTCCGACGAAGCACACTCGTCCAAGTCTACAAAGAATATAAATCGATCGTACTGTTTTGTAAAATATACGTATGACTCATGCGGTATTTTTTGCTGACCTTGTAAGTTCGATATAGATCCAGCAGGACTATCGACGTAGAGAGCACTGTTTCCTATATTATTGCTCCTTCTATGAATAACACCGAGCAGATGTCTCTGCAACTCCCCTGCTAAACTTGGTCTTATTGTTCTCGGTTCGTAAGTGAGCTTCAGGGTTGCGTTAACAAAGACACCCCCTTGACCTTGGCTTATATCCCCTTGATACACGCCGTTGATCAAGGATCCCATGTATTCGTCCGAAAACGGTGTCATCGACATGGCAGATTCGATCTAGAAAGTTTCAAACCTCGTTACGAATTTCCTATGTTCTTCAATTATAAAGCACAACGTTACTTCGACTTACAGCTCGATTTGCTTCATAGGCCAAAGTCTGGTAAGGTTCAGAGTCTTTGTCCGTAAATCCTCGGTCCCAGACAACTTTCCTGTCATAAATTTTATCCACTCTCATCGACACCATGATGCTAATGATTTCTAGCAACAGAAATTACTGGTTGAATCTAGCTTGTTTCGATTGAATTTGGTTTAAGTGGGTTCATGATTATACGAACTTTTACACGGTAACGAATGTTGAAGCCTGGCATATCCTGGCTTACAATGACACGCAGACACTCCTTGAACAGTTGCACACGCCTCGTGTTGACTAATGTCGCAAGTGCTGGTGTCACCCACGATACACGTGTCTATCCTAACGGGTGGTTGAGTGGGTCTTCTGTGGAACGTAGGCCTTCGTATTGGACCACTCGGCCTTGGAGTCGCTGTAGGAGGATCAGGTTGTGGCACTGCAAACCTTTACGGAAAAAACGAGTTGTTTTTATTTATTTATTTTAAGATGTACATCAACGAAAAGGTTAAGGATACCAACCCTGTGCCAACAACGGCCGGTGATTGCGTTCTGGTCGGCTGAGGCTGAGTTTGCACGTGCGTCGAGGTTCGATCTGTATTCTCGAATAGGTTCAAGTATGTTCTTTTCCCGTCGATGCTGACGAATCCTTGACCCTCGACCGCCGATGTGAGAATCACGTCCGCATTTCCCGCATTTACCGGTACTCTCACGCCTTCCCCTGTTAACAATGAACAGTGGATTATCGATAACACCGTGTACACGTGAAACGCGGCGAAAGGGTTAAACGCATGAATGTTTACCAGAAGTCCCACCACCGGGTCCTTGAATAGCCGAGACCGTGACATCAAAAATATCACCGAGAGGTGGATGTCTCGGTGGTGCGTAAGGTCGTTGAGTAGCCAATCCTTGGGTGCCCGTGTAATCCAAGGTATCGTCAAGGACTATCCCAGGTCTGGGTCGATAAGCATAGCGATCCGCCGGGGCTACAAAGGAAATTAATCGAGCATGATAGGCCGTGCAAAGGAAATTAACACTTTGACGGTCGCGAGCTTCGTGGATTCTACGACCTTTGTAATTTTATTTGCCTTTTTATATTTATACGAAACCTAATTGTAGAAATGCAATCGGTAATTGCTACTCTGCTACCGTTACTCTTACCCTATCAAAAAAGATTCTAGTACACATCGTACCTGAATTTTTTGTGAACGTATTCGATGCCGTCGTATGAACTACACTTTTATCCAGAGTCGACGAACTTTTCGTAAAAATCGATGGTAAACTGTCTGTCGGCGTTGGCACATTCGATACAGTCATCGTACTTTCAAAATCGGACGATTTGCTCGGTTCTAAAGCCACTGTACTAGGCGCAATTGATGTATAACTTGCACTATTATTCTCGGAGATTGCGGTCGATTGAACGACTGTTTTTGTGGTCGTAGGTTCGATTACATGGACTGACGAGCTGGTCTCGATATTCAACGTGGACGTAGAATAGGATTTTATCGGGGTCTTGGACATGCTCGATTTGTTGATGGATTTTTCGTTGTTTATACTGGAATTGGGTCTCTGGGTATCGGTGATTTTTATGGATTTCGTAGGTTTCAATGAAACTTCTAGCGGTATCACGGGCTTCGGTGAATCTTCCTGTTTCGTGTTACTTATTTTTTTCACATTGTTCGATTCCGTTGTCGACGCATTATGATTCACTTTATTCTCTTTAGACGGAGATTGATGTTTGTTCTCCTTTTTCGTGGAACTTCCTGATTCAGGATTTTTCGTAATATTCGCGGTAACTGGTTTCTCCGTGGTCTTCGCATCAATTTTCGTCTTTTGATTATCACCTTCCTGATGATTCTTGGTTGCGTTCTCGGAAATGTGCGGGGTGGTTTCACTTTGATCTTTCTTTGTCGAAGGTTCCTCCGTCGATGGAACGTCGGGTTTCGTGTTTTTGTCTTCTTGTTCTTTCTCCTGATTGAAAACGGATTCTGACGATGGAGGCAGCGGTTTGTACGGAGGTATTGGTCTTCTGTTTGAACCTGCAGAAACGTTATATAGTTAAATAAATGTACACAAATAGAAACTCACGATCGAGATACTCACCAGGTCGATTCCAAGTCCAGGGACGATTTCCTTGCGGTACGATTTGTTCCGGCAATGGAACACCGTTCACAAACGGTCTAATTGGTCTTTCTGGCGGCAATTGGTTGATCAACGGTCTATCGGGAGCTGGTGGTTTCTCAAAGGGATAAGGATGATCCGGTGGAGGAGGAGGATTCATTCCAGGTGTATCGAAATCCGGTGGTAACGGAGGTACGTCAGAAATTCTTGGAGGCCCCCTATTGTTGATCCTAAAACAGGCATTTATGTATTCGTGGATTGATCATAATCGTCGTAAACGTGTACAACTAGTGTAGTAAGTCTAACCTGGTAGCTTGAATCGGTCTGAGAGGCCTGACCGTGTTAGCGGCGACGTTCACGTTTCCATTCAGCAGTTTGACGATACCCGTGATGATGTCCTGTATATCAGGATTCGCTTGTCGATGTCCTGGCGAAGCGGTCTGCAGGATAGGCGGTGGAGCGTGCTCGCTATAGATCCTGGGGATCTCTTGGCGAGCTCGTCTTTGTTGATCCATTGCTTGCAAGTAATGTGCCTGTTGGTTTGACACTCCAGCCAATTGGTGGGGCTCCGACAAGAGTTTTGGTCCCTGCGGAGCCCCTAGTCCTTCCCCCGACACGGATTCGCTCGTTGTCGGTGTTATACTGTTAGTAATTGAGAAGAGAATAAGAACTAGTAGCTTCTGACTTAACGAAACTTTGAGTTTTTAGAAACATACTGATAATATTCGCCAGGTTTCACTTCGATGTTGTTCCCGTCTATGTGATCGACGTGCTTCGATGACGTTAGCTCGTCGATGGATATGTCGTGCCTCGTATTTCTTTCTTCGAATCTGATCTCATCTTTGTCGTAGCTATTGATACTTTTCGAGCTTTCCAGTTGAAACGCTGGAACGGTTCTTTGGAAAATAGGCGATTCATCACGGTGAGATACGCTGGACGTCCTTTCCGGACCCGTGTACGAGCTGGCGCTAAGAATTATGTCTTCTTGAGAGGAACGAGAGGACGTTCGATCGTTCTGGATAGCCGATACACCTATGCAACGATTAACAATGATTTATAATCGAAATTTAGATGATTATAGTAAAACACATGCAAATGAACCGTTGCAAATAATGCGCGACGTTAATTACTCGCACAAGAAGGATACTCCCTATCTGTAGTATCGTTCATTCCATCATTAGCAACTGTTAACGCGCTTTTCCATCTTCAAAAGCAAAGAATCACCGCGAAAAAGGAATACAGGCCATATAATTTCACGTTTCCTCGAACGTTCGATCGATCGGTCGTGCATTTAACTTAAATCAGCCGGTCGAAGCCATAAGAAACTTGTCGATAGCCATTGTGGAAGGGTTCGCAAGTCGATACCTGCAAAAAATCGCGAAGATCCATGGACGATCGGTAAGGGAAACGGTACTCGAACGGTTGACATTCTCGAGGCCAGTATCGAGTGGTTTGACCAACCGTGGACGTGACGAGTATGAAATTACTACTACTTATCTCTTTCCTCGTCCCTCTTTTATTCCATCGACATTCTTCGCGTCGCACACCTTCCGCTTTCTGCGGAGAGAGAGAAAAAAGGTTCATCGACATCGTCGATATTCGACCAGCCTTTTTGTCTGGAATCAATCACGGAATCCTGACGAAGAGCCTTTTAAATGTTTCGTCCCGTGGATTACGCTTTATTACGCAATCAAACTGTTTACGATCTATTCGGAGATCGTAACCCGTCAGTCGACTCATTTTTCGACGAGAAAACATTTTTCTGTTCGTGTTACGAAATAGTGTTCGTTCGTGCCGTACGCCTCGAATGCTGTGCATATTTTAGTTTAGTTTTCTTCAGGATGTTCCGTTTTAAAAATCGACTCAAAATGAGTCCTTAAAGGGAAGTAGCCAGCGAAGCAAGTATACGGTTTCCCATATCAGGGGAAAAGTATCCTACAGCACACCGTCGTATTCGATGCAAACACATTGAAATTCCATGGCAAGATGGGGACAAGAACAATGGAAGATTTCCATGCAGCGATTCAACGACGCGCGAAGCAATTTAAGTGAAACTAAAATTTGCAGCGTGGTCCGTGTACGTGTAGATCATAGTCAGACGATAATAACGATTCTGGCCGTTCTAAATATCGCGTGAAAATCTGAAATACTAACCGAGATAATTAATCGTTTCGATCGAAACTGAACACGGAGTGCAGCGTACAACCACACGCGTTTCGCTTCGATCGAACGCAGCAAGCCACAGACGAACGACACGTTGTTCAGCTTTGTCTCGTAGAAAGTGTGCATATTATAGTATCGTTTTCCTGCGGACTTTTTCCTTCTTTTTCAAACCTTTCACCGTCTTTGACCGACTGTTTCGTGGAATGCTTTGCCTCGAGACAGTTCCTCCCGTTAACGGGATAACGAGAGCAACGGTCTAACGGAGCACGTTCGTTTCGTTAAATAATGCTATATAGATAAATGAAAAATTCCTCACGTAGTTTCGTCGATAAATTGATGAGCGATTTTTATGGAGATTTTTTGCGCGGTTTTATACAATCTAGGTTTAATGTATTTTTTAACCAGTACCTAATTAACGCATCTATGGTAATTATGTACATGTATGCTTGAAAGACTTCCATTTGAAAGAGATTTATTGGAAAATTTAGCTACGAAGATGACGAAGCAGTAGCAAAGTGAAGAAATTTTAATAACGAGATTCTGGTGGTAATTGCTCGTTAAGAAACGTACGTAGCGACACGAATTTTCAAACAGTTGTTCGTTCGCAACCGCAATTAAGCTGACCGCTGGTTCGTTCTACTCGCCGAACATCATGCTCTCGATGTTCTCTGATACGCTGGAGAAACACCTCTATGGAAATTAAACTTAACAGATGGAGTTGACGAGACTCGAACAGTCGTTTAGGAAAAAAACGAGAAGATTAAACGCGAGAATGGCAGGGTACCTCGTGAAAACTTATATATTATCCGTAACAGTCCTTTATCATCATATATATACATGTATAATCAATTCGTACGAGGATTACGATCTCCTGATCCGAATTACAGTTACACACCCGTGTCTCGATTCATTTTTGTTCCTTTTCCCTTGCGGAAACCGTACAACCATTGTTGTTGCGCTACGACCACCGTATTATCGTTAAGATTACGGTGTTCGTTGTAACCGAGGTTACAGTAAAACAGCTAACTTAGTTTCCGAGGTATGCATTACGCTCAGAATAACGAAGATGCTACGAAACAGCGTGAGAATCTGGGTAAATTATGACGCAGCCCGTATCTCGGAACACACTTGCTGAACCGCGCGACAAGCGTGATCATTTCGGATAACGATAATGTAATAAAATTACCGCGTTGAGTGCCGTATGAACCTCTAATTACCATTCTGACCATTAAAAAATTCAGTTAATATTGTATCGACCATACAAAGTACCAGTCTAAAAAGTTTAACTGATCGTATCCTTAATAATTAGCGTTGTAATATGACTAGCTGTACATGTTCGGGTTCGCTGCAGCTTTTAATGAGTTAACAATTAACTTGTCAACACTCCCAATAATTTTGTTGTAGCAAGTATTAGGATTAAAGTTATGGAAATTTAATTAACAGTTCGCATTCTTGACATCGCGTGAAATAGACCCTTTAAGATCTCTCCAGATGATAAGATCGACGAATCAATTTTGTAACGTATTTATTAACAAGACTTTCGTTTCCTATTTGAATCGAAACATCGTCTAAATAATAATTATAAACGCGGCTCGCATGCCGCGAACGGATAACGGTGTTTGCGAACACCATAACCTTCCTAACGTGAGAGCATGGGATCCCGTGAGAATGTAGGTGAATTGCATCGTTGATTCTGTCCCAACCAGCGAGGAATGCAGTCTGTTGGTCAGGTTCGAAACTCGTGTCCTGAATCGTTCAGCGGGCCCAAGGCTCTTTCCTGTGTCTGGCCCTTCGGGATAATCAACTGCCTGGAATAATTAGCAACGCTAATTTTAACAGCTTCAGCGATTCTAGTAGAATTCACCAGGATTTTTCTTCGATACTTGTTCAGCTAAATCGACGAAATAAAGACTTGAGCATTTTTGAAGTCACCGAGTTTCATGCAGTGCTGACGTCCGAATCTTGGATTCGTATTAATAGCATCTTCTAGCGATTATCGAACACTGACCTATAATGGCTAGTACGATAATTTGTAAAGGAACGATAGCAACGTTTAACGTCTCACTCGTGAAACTTTGCACGAGCCACAGTTTATAATATTTTTTCGGTAAAAGATTGTCTTGACACGGACGAATAACTTGGAGAAAATGCAAGAGCTCACGTGAAGTTCGTGGTATACACAGCGTGCGGCTCACGAGGTAACGAGGTAACATAGTTTCTGTGTTGTGTACAAAACGTCCGTAAAAAATATTACCGGTTCTAGATACCTTCGATTATCCGCCGGGATATCTATGAAGCGATAATATTTACCTATCACTGAATCACATTAATGGAATCTCGCGTGAACAGGATTAACGGCCTTATTTCCCAGTCTATTAATTCTCATACTGATTGCTTCCAATTGCCTTTAATACGCGCGATTCCATTCTTCTTTCTTTCTTCGATTAGTTACGTTTCATAGTCGATTAAAAAGATAGCTCCAAGCCAAAACGAACAAAGAAATTATTCCACGATTTCTATTTCGCAGTATCATCCCCCATTCTACTTTCGTGTATCATCGTAACACTTTGTAAGATGCTGCAAATTGGGTCGTTGAAATCTGTGACGCAATTCTAACAACGATACGACTTCGAAGCAAGAAGAAAGAAACGTCGAAGGGGGTTTATCCGTGGAAGACCGTAGACCGAGCTATGCGACGGTAACTCGAGGCGGTAACGGCAGAGTTAACGGTACACCATTCCAGCCCAATATTTATTCTTTTCGCTGGTGAACACGACATTTGGTAGCTCCATCCTCGAGATTCGACAGGTGTCGAGCCGACCTTCGACACGTGCTTCTCGAGACTCGTTAACGCGTTCCCCGCCACGTGGAGCATATACGATTCGCACCCAACTTTCTGTTCCGATGGTTTTTTGTCTCTTGAAAAGATAATTCTTTAATTTTAGTCGTCAACGTGTGCCGATCGCCGTAGATCACCGATGATCATTTTTATAAAAGTTTTTGCTCTTTACCGCGCAAACAAAATCTCGAACAATGAATCAATCGACTTTCGTGTTCTGTTCGTGACACTTTCACGACAAACGCGTCGGGGCGAAAGTCGAGTGACGAAACCCCATGCCGGATACGTTTCTTTGTGGTGCGGTTCATCCGCGTCGACGATGACGTTGAACGTCTCGTGTAAATTCCTGCCGTTGCGTAAACCAGTCGAAGGAAGTTACAAGTTGGGAGAAGAAAGTTCGTAAAAACCGTCTTTGATTTCGTTTGATCGCATCGAATTCTGGTCGACGACCCGAGGACCTTGATCATCGAAACCGCACCTAGTATCCAAAAAATGTCCAATTTGCATAGGTCAATGAACCGTTTTAGTCCACACATTCGTTACTCGATGTCGAGGTTCTTCGTTTCAAAGTTTCACCTTTTATTCCGTTTCGTATCGACAAACTGATAATGTGGAAATGATTATTAGCGCTTCCGAACGAACGTTTTAATCTAGGATGTGAAAATCTCTGAGTAAGAGGTACGTGCCAGGACACGAGTGCGCGTCATGTTTGCAGCTTTCTCCCGTGTTTCTTTTGAAACGCGTCTATAACGCGTGTTTCTTTGAAATATCGTGTAAAAACATTTATACGAATTTCGTCTTGAAACTACTCGAGTTTTATTAACGCGAAGCATATTCAATGGAGACCCTGATACTTCCGTACGACGAGAGAAATTAATTACGGCGAGCTTTGCCTCACTTTTGAATATTTATATTCGAGATAACTCTCCACAGGTCGACGAACCTTTTTCTCTTTTTTTCCTTTCCACTACACTCCATGAATTCTGGTTACAATGTTATACTGCACACGCTGAATTCTCATAGTAAATTGTTTATGTTCTTTGGTCGAGCCGGATGTGTACCTACTTACCTATCTACATCGTAGTAGATAGTAAATCATTGCCAGTTATCAGTTTCCGCTATAATAACGAGTCGATTACTCGATCTATATAATTATTCGCGTGAAACGACCCCTTGGCTATGTGCTAAGGGTGCAAATATTCCTAAGAATCTTTTACGAGCTTTTGTTACTCATTGAAAAATATCTGTTCTTTGACCGTAGCCTGGTTGACACTCCGAGGACGGTGTTTTATCCTCACGATCTTGTCGTTCGAACGTCAAGAAATTTTCGACAGAGGTCAAGATACCGGTTTAAAACTCGACCGCACGTGGCTGCTTTGATAAAGTCCGATCAAACAGGTTCACGCATTCATTTCTCGAGTATTTGCATCGTTATTCGACTGGCGACAGATGTTAAGCGACAATACGTACTGCAATACGCTGGTTTCTCCAAAGATAGAAACTCGGGCGAAAGTTGAGTACGCTAATTAGGTTAGAAATCGTGCCATTGTGCTGAAAAAGATTCAAATTCTATTCGATAGGTATTTGAAACGCGAAACTTTTCATCGTCACAACTGGAACGGTCGTATCCTCGTTCCGTTACACCTGTATCTGCCCTTCCATGCACCTTACGATCAACCTTGAAAGCAGCATCCACTTACCTAGAAGAACTAACAGCGACAAGATCACGAGGACCTTCGACCCCCCGAGTTCTGGCATCCTGGTATCCTTGAACGTTGTGGTCGAACGGTGTTTGCACCTCCTGATCAAGGTCAGGCTAATTGTAAAGAACACTCGAAAGAAGTTCTTTAGCGGCTCTGGTGGTGGTTGGACCAGTCTTTATCGTTGTAAATCGTGCCACGGTACCAGCCGATCGCCGCCATTTTGGATCGCGAACCTATGCCGAGTAAAAACGTCGAGCATCGTGAAAACTCGAATGCCCTCGTCTCGCCATTCTTTCCTTCCTTCCCTCGTCCAATCTTTCTCCCGTCGATACTTTTCTTTCTTTTTTTTCTTCTTCCTCTTCTTCGTCCGTTTGATTCGGTCTCGCACTCTCGCGCACGCCGGTTGACCTACTTGGCCGCTGCTAAGTCCGGTGTGTTTTCGTGTTTGTGAACAAGAACGAGTCAGCTTTTTCGGCCAACGTGGTACGTCTCACCTTCTTTTCCGCCTTTCTCGCGATCTCTCCCTCGATTTTCGACTTTTTCCCCTGACTTTCTCGCGCTTTTCGGCTTTCGAATCGTTAAGCTTACCAACGTTTCGACATCGTATCTCGCTTATGCGGGTTGATGTCACTCACGGACAGTCGTGTCCTTATTACGGCTAGACGTTTCACTCAAATTTCCGTTTTAGAACCTGAAATATCGGCTTAACGCGACTTTAATTACATACTCCGACTATTAACGCTCTTATCCTTCTTGGTCTCTACATGATTTTCGAAGAATTTACACCTACTGTCACAAAAGTAAATCGATTTAACGCACTGTTGGTTTATTTAACCTCATCGAACCTTCGGAAACGCGTTGACGAGTTGACACAGAATTACCACCGGTACACAGCTGTATCCGACTTTCGAATCACTGGACTATGATCAAATTCGTCCTCCATCGAGATTTCGCGATACTGTATCGGACAATTTTCTCGATGAATTTCGTTGAAAACTCGAAGGAGACTGAATGAAGAACGAAGACCTTCGAGAAGCTTGATCGAGTTTCGTTCGAGGTTCGCTTCACGGTCGTTCACACGGGACTGGCTTACGGTGAGGACGGTCATACACGGTTTCTCCCACTTTAACTATGCCATGCTACACCATGGTGCACTATACTACACTCTTCAGGACTATATACGTCACGTCTTGGTAGCTCGTTTCCACCATGCCAAGCTCTATCGTCCCCTCGACTCCTGTTCTCCCCTCTCTTCTCCGAAATCTCTCTATCTCCGTTTCTGTCTCACCTTTCCACGATTCTGTCCTTCGCGAACCTCCTTCCTCTTGGACGGTTTTTACGCACAAGCCTTACCTCGACCTACCTTTCGATTCTTTCGGGACTCTGGTCTTCTCAAACTTTATCTCTTACTTACTCCGAGCTTCTTATTCCTTTTCTTCCTTTTCCGTCTCTCTGTCTGCAGTTTCTTCACCGAAGCGTGTCTACCTGTACAGCGACCTCCGCGAAGCGTCCATTTTCCACCTGCGCCTCGTTCTCTTGCCTTCCGTGATTTTAATGTCGCGAAAGGGAAACCCAAAATTTAGTCGAGAGAAGATAATCCTTCGAAAACAACAGCCTAGATTTCCCTTGCGAATACGGGTACTTGTGCAAGGTGCACAAGGTATGGAAGAGCTGTGCACGTGTGCAGATAACGGGATTTCGTAAGCAGCAGTCAAATGGAAAAAATCAATACGTCCTGAATGACTATGGTGTCTCTCGAAGGTTTGTAGGGATTTAGATAACATTTTGATCCTTTCGTTTGTAACGTCGACCATTAGAGAAATTAGGATTGCCGTACCGCGTTAAGGGGTTGTTACCGAGTCGCTTTATAATCGAATATGACTGTGGCGGCTTTGCAGGATTCATAGGGATTCAGATGGTACTTTGATCTTTTTGTACCGACATCGACTGCGTGAATATTAGAATATCTACAGGCGGACGTAACAAGTCCATTGGTTCACATAAAGAACATCGTAAATACCAGTCGAATCGGCAAATAAATTTTTGATATTATCCTGTGTTCGATTTACCGATAACTGCCGATGAAATTGAGGAACTCGAAGAACAAATCTCTGAGAAGATAATCAAGGAATGAACGTTGTTCGCGGATCCTTATGAAAGAAAAGGAGCAACGGAACGAATCGAAGCGGTCCTTTTTGCGGGATTTCGAGGGTCCATTAACGGCTTCGAGAAACTCTGTGAAATAAGTTTAAAAAGATAGTCATGGAAGTATATAGAAACGATAAAAATAATCTAAGAAAATTGTAGACTGTTTAGAATGCCAGATGCTTAACGCGTATTTAAGATCGTCCGTTGACGAGCATTTTTTGCAATTACGGCAATTTAACGTGAGAGTTGCGAACACACGAAAGTTCAACAGGTGTGAATCTTCTTAAAGAAGTTTCTCTGGAACGTCTCGATCGTTCTTCCAAACGCTGCGTAATGTTGTCGGCTGTACAGCAACGACCCTTCGTTTTCTTCTCCTTCTTCTTTCTTCGTATGGTCAAACCAGACTGGAATGCGCGAGTCTGTCTTCTCGATCAGTCAAGCAACATTGGTCTTCGGGATGTCAGGTTACTGTTGAAATTGCATCGTAATCTTTGGTATCTTTCCGACAAAAACAATGCGTATCGAATCCGAACGAATTCCTTCGAAAAACTTGAACAATTCTAATTAAACACGTGTACACCGATTTCTGGATTTCTTCTCTTCGAACATCACGTTTCTCGATTCGGGGTTTCGTTTAGAATTCCTCGAGAGATCTGCTTTGAACGAGGAGACTCTATTTACCCATTGACCTCACGTAAAGCGGTCGCAGCGTTTTCTATTCTCAAAGTTTCCGAAGCTTTAGTTAGGCTCGTCTGTATTGCAGCACGGGGCATACGAAGAATTAAAATTGCATATATGTGTAACGGGCAGCCTGTTGGGCAAGTATCCATGAAATTAGTCGGTCAGTAACTCAGCCTCATCCGGGATCGAATAATAGAATGAAAAATCATTTCGTTATTCTACTCGGTTGAAAGAACACTGTATACGTTACAAAGTTGGTACATGATTGCTTCGCATAATCGTTCACGCTCGTGTTGTTGAACATCCAAGTATCGTGGGTTTTTGCAAAGCAACATTCTTGAAACATGCAACAATAACGGAAGAACATAATCGCGTTCTTTTAACCCGCTATGGTAAAGGTAGCTCGCTAAACGACCTGCCACTGGAAAGAAAGATCCCTTCTGTCGATAACAGAAACCTTCGGCGTTTCACGGTCGGTACTTTCATACGAATTTCTTTTTACAGAAAAAGAAAATGATAGATCCAACCTCTGGTCAAGACCTGTTCGAATTTGTAAGTGTTCTCGAAACGAAACCTCTTCTCGCGTTTCGAGTAAATGACTGTCGATGCTTTCGACAGGTTATCGCGCGAGTAACCGTAAAAATGACATTACAAGCAGTACTTGTTTAAACAAAAAGGAGGATGATTTATTGGTGAGAATAATTGGGTAGCTTCTCGAGGATATCCAACGCGCCCGCTTCGTCCGTGCTTTCCTATTGAACGCGCGGCCAGGATACGACCTGAGAGAATCCTCTATTTTCATTCCAGACCGGGTCGAACAATGGGGGATCTAAATTGGGCAAAAACCAGTCTGCCGTCTAGTTTGGCGAGACCGAAGGCATTCTGGCATAGTCGGGAACAACGTTGGCAGTTCTGGGCTCCCACAACAAGGTTCCCCGTTGACCGTGGCCGACCACGGTGCTTCAAATGGCCACGGCCTCACGAGGAGGAACAGCCTCAGCTCCGGGTGAAAGTGATAATTAACGACGCGCACCAATGGAATGTTCCTTTTCTCCGTCGTCCCTGTCGCTATTGGTTCATCGTACTCTTGACCGGTTATGACACCGCTCTCTTTTTATTTAGTCAACGCAGGATTCCCTTGATCCTGCGACGATTCGGATTCTGTCATCGGTTTTCTTTCCTTCGATTTCCTTTTTTGCAAAGAGAGACTGAGTCATTAGGTAGCAACCTTTCTTTTGTTCAACTTTTCAAATCCTGAGATCCTCGGAGCTTTCACGACCCGCTATTGTACCAACGATATTTGACGAAGGTTTACGGGTATAAGCCTGGTCCTTAAGGAGTATTGTTCCAGCGTTACGCAAGCTTCGCGGCTTCGTCAGGATTTAAACATTGATATTTAACGATTATCGGTGCTCAGACTTCGATTAAACTGACGATAGCCTTTACGAAAGACTGGAACAATAAGGACGTTTGGAGATCTTCGATGAATCTTCTGTCTGCCACTAATGTAAAGTCGCGTAAGTACGCAAAATTGAGGAAGTGATTCATTTCTAGACGGCTAGACGCGTTTTAATTTCAAAAAAAAAAATCACAGACGCTGATAGCACAAAAGTGACAAAACTGAAGAGTCAGCGATAGATTCGAGAATCGAAGAATTAACTTGGAGAACGAGTAATGAAGTGATTATTAACAATTTTTGTATTCGTAACGACGGTAATTCAAACCAGGAACCTATCGATAATCGCGTTCCACTGCGACAAACGGTACTTGCAACTGCTTTATTATACGAACCGCTAGGTCAGTTTATGACACTCGTTTGAAAGGTCCGTATTATCTGGTCAACGCATCGTGTCCAACTAGAAAGGATGCAGCATAACTTCTTTAGCCGACGTTCTCAAACGTCGGATTATATCCTGTTGCGATCATAACTATGTATTATACATCGGCTGTCATTTCGTTATCATCGAACTCATTAATTATCGAGAAAATTAATTATCGATCTCCGTATACCAAAAGAGTATTTTATCATCTTATATGTTCAGCTGTGTCGCGAACGATAAAAAATCAGAACATACGTTTCCGTGATGTTTCAAGACATAGAAACCGTACAATCGGTTCACTGTATTTCCTGTGTTTACCTTAAAAATTTCGTCCTCGACGCGACAAGGTTCACCGAGAATAGCTAGGAATAAACGACCGGTCTTGTATTTACTCGATGCATCGACAAAAGCGCCTTTTCTTTCGTCGACTTAATTATAATACTCGCATAAAAGTATCATTTCCGGCGCATTAGGCACACGAGGTTTCCTAAGTGGTTTTTCCGAGCCACTGTATTTAAAATAAGGAATAACTTAAAGACTGACCGTAGGACGAAACAATGGCCACTTTGTCGTACAATCTGGTTGTATGGCATGCAACGGAACTCGAAGTTCGTTCTCGATGTTACGGTGTCTTCTTTCTTCTCGTCCTTTCCCTTTAAACTTTGAATCCTACCTTCGTTAACAGCCGTGTCGTAAACTCATTGGAATGGCCAGTACGATGATCGAGCAAATTATCAACCGGAGAAACAGCTGATTCGTAAGGCTTGTTCGTGGAACTTACCAGCATGATCTTTACCTGTATTTACCCGACCAGTCATACATTTACCAGCTTACGTGGAACTGCTCCGAGACGATCGTACGTCTCAGAAGTCGCCTATACATTCTGTGTATAATCCTATTGTCATATCGTGTGCGATAAGTCAGAGAATCATACTTAGTAACACGAGTCAACTGAAATAATCGATGCATCGACTCGAACTTCGAGTTTTCAACGAAGTAAATGTGTCAGGGGTAAAGTTAGTCATGTAATAATTGGAACAGCATCGATTCGCATCACGAATAGATGCATCGGGCATTATGTAATGGCGTCACAAGAAATGTTGAACGTTCGTGCAGAGGATAATTTGTCGCGAGAACAGTGACTCGCATGAAAATACCCATAATCGTTACTGTAGACCGTGTGCTCTCGGTAGGCCATGCAGATGCGCGAAATGATTTTCTTTCTCCCTCCCTGTGTTGCGCGACAGTGACGTCTCGTTTAATCGCGGCGCCAAACATCGTTCTCTTAATTAAGGAAGAAAAAAAAATCTCTTCTGGCCTTAACACGCATCCGCGTGCGTGATTCGAACGTTCAAATGGGCCGCTTCTCTTTCCTCCGTATACCCTCTGTAACGTACGCTTTTCACTTCGGCGGGTTAACACAAACTGCCTTGTAAAATAGGGAAGCGACGCCCTGAGACCTTCGGCCGTTCATTCTTATCTTCATTAAGACTGTCGGGGGGCCAAGGGACGGAAAATTAACTGCACATGGCGACGACAACCGTCCTACCCCTCGGGTAAGTCGAAGCGTGTCGCTACGACCCAATATGAATCGTTGCCACTGTGCTCGGTTTAATATTACTTGGCCGAACAATGCTGCGAAAGTGTCCTGATTCTGTAGAAATATTAATATTAAGTCGTACTCATCTTCGCACGGTATAATTCAGAAACGATTGCGAGCGTAATCAAACCCGAATCGCTACAGCTAAAAGATTGTCTCGAGGATATGGCGAACCGTGGCAATAGAGGAAAAAGCTACTTATGCAATTTCGGTGCTGTAAGTACGGTACGCGTCGGACGGGGACATGATCCTTCCGTCCGACAGAAGGTATGGCAATGAATCTCGTTGTTAAAGACCGCACTAATAAAAGATTCGCATTCGGACAAGCGTAACGATCAACTAATGTTTGAAATTGCACGCGGTAAGAAAGGGAGGGTTATCTCGGTGATTGCCGTGCGCGGTATGCGCCGTTCGAAGCCGGAAATTCGAGCATAGAAAAATGGTGGCGCGTGAGCCGCGCTC